CAGAAGCAAACGCTGCGGACGAAGTTACTGCCCGACATGTCTTCGGTACCGTCTCGAAAAACACAGACATTATCGCCCGTTTTGACATCAAAGATTCGGGCAGATCTCTTGCAGCCTGTTGCTACATACTTGCCATCGTGGCTAAAGCCAACACATACGACAGCGTTGTCATGCTTAAGAGTATGGAGGAGATCGACATCCAGCTGGCGGGGGACAGTTTGGTTGAAATTCACAACCCAGTCATCACCTGGGTCCGGCAACTGACCATCGCTCCGAGATGGCTTCGCAGTTGCCGTACGGAGCAAATCGACGATAGCTTTGTGACCCCGACGAGCAGCTCTGTTTATAACGTCCTCATCAACCAAGCTGGATTGCCCCTGTTGCAGGAGGTATTGCACCACAGCAAAATGTCCTGCGCCACAAGCGTAGCCGAGAGGTGTTGTCGTCGATTCGTCGGACCCGTCGCTGTAGCATTCAGGGTGGCGTGCTGGGCGTAGATCAGCCTGGATCTTCCCTGTTTCAAACAAGATCTTGACAATGTCCAAGTGGCCAAGCGCACATGCTTCGCAAAATGGCGACCGGCCGTAGCCGTCGGGTTCGTCCGGTAGACATTCTTTCTGGCTAACAAGCAACTGAACGATGTCTCGGTTACCAGCCACCAGGGCCGCATGCAGTGCTGTCCGTTGACTAGCCCTACTTCGTCCAGTAAAATCGATACTAGCACCTCTCTTAAGCAACAACTCGCAAACATCAAAGTGACCAAATTTTGCTGCCAAATAGAGCGGAGTCTCCATGCCACCGGGTCTGCTTGGTTGGTTGAGATCTACGCCGGAATCTAGTAACGCTTCGACCATGGGTAAATCGCCCCGCGTGGAGGCCTTCCAGAGTGTTGCCTCCTCCTTCGTGGCTACCTTAGGGAACTCAAACCCATCGTCCAGCTCAGGGTGGTGATGTCTCTTATGATGGTCCAGTTGTGACTGAGTAGCGTATCCGAGTCGAAATGCAAAGCAATCTTCAAAGGGACAACGGAACGGAAGGTCATGACCGTCGACATGTTGTTTGCGCTCTTCCACATTTCCGAAGCCGACCGTGAAAAACTCGCACCACGGCTTAGAGCATTTGTAGAGTGCCGCTGTTCCATGGAGGTTGGTAAGAACATCTCGCTCTGCAGGATCCAGAAGTCGACCTTGAAGCGCTTCGATTCTCTTCCGAATTTCGATTGTCCTGAATTCGATATTGAAATATGCGTTTCTCTTGTTTCCGTCTTTGGGGAGCCTCTCGAGGGCTCTGGCAACATCCTCGGGCCATCGTATATCATGAATTTCTCCCATTTTTGATAAAAGCCCGTAAGATTTAATAAAATCTCGTGCCGATTTCATTGCTTCTCGGCATGGGTCTAAGGTTGCGCTTAACCCAGCACACTTCCGGAAATGGTCGTACCAATACTGAACGGCGTAGTCTTGGAAAGCATAGTATCCCTTTACCGCATGGCCATCAATATCGTTCCCGGCAATTCCACATTCAAATGGTCCTGATGTGAGATATCTCGAACAGAAGATGGCAGCCTTGGCGTGCTCAAGACTAGTGTCGATCCACTTTCTTTGGACAAGATATCTTCGCAAATTAGCTGATGCCTGTCTAAGGACTGTAAATAAGGACTGAGGACTTACGCTCGAGCAGTCTCATGAACAATCTTTATGATATCTTCGGGGCCCGCCTTCTTATCGGCCGGATGATGCACGTCGATGAGAGATCCGCAAATGTCTTTGCACGTAACCCTGAGCCTTCTTTCCTCGTAGTCAACGACCCCCTCGACTGGGTCGATGCAGAAAAGGGACTGGATCTCGCGCCATCGAAGGGGCCGTCTGGCGCAAATGACCCAACCTAAGATTTTCAATGCGTACTCGCCTCCGTCATCATCATCTGATGACTTTTCAAATATCCGCACAGCCACCCTTTCGTATCTATGTCGGAGTATTCGTCACTTCCAGGTCTTGAAACTAAGCTTTCCGAGTGTTGATGTACTCACGCCTTCTCGATTCCCCGGGGAAAGGTTCCTGGCTCAAGTTCTTGCCTGAGCCGAGAAAGTTGTTTCTGGTTCAGTAGGTTTTCTAATACGACACGAGCGTAAAGGAACATGCCTGTAATTTTGTTAACATCGATCAAGAGCGCCTTGGATTCATTAGATACCTTCTGCCTCATTTGCAACACGGGTGATGATGTCTTCTTCCATTTTTGGAGGAATATCGAATTTCTCCCGTATCTTCCCACAGAAATCCCGACAATACCGACGAACGTCCTCGATATGACAGGGTGTCTCCAGGGAGATTGAAGGTTGGGTTGCAAGCAACTTATCCAGAACGCCATCTCGCTGACCGCAGAACAACACACGCAATACAGCGCTCGTGGCCTGCAATTTGCCATTAACAAGGGATAGGAACCATTTGACCGACTTTGGTGCTTCATTTGGGGCGCACTCGTCCAGGCCGTCAAGGACAATATAAGAGATCCGATAGCTTTCCAAAGCAGTCATGATCAACTCCTCGAGTTTCTTCGTTGACCGCAAATTAACCTCTTCAGTAGACAATATACTGCCGTAAAGGTGATCGCATATGGCGGGATCTTTGCCAATGAGTTGCCACAAAATCGCTCGGAGAAGACTGTTGTGCGACTCTTTGTTTGGCTGCTCGTGCTTGAAGTAGAAGTAAGCGACGCAGTACCCGTTGGCACCAGAACCATTCTCCCCTAGGAGTTTCTCGATAATAGCTGACATCAACGTCGTCTTGCCTAAACCGCCGTCAGGACTTCATTTAATCAGTCACGCTAAGGGACGACGACGCACCTGCACCGGGCACGCCGTTGACATATAGAACGGCATGGCCTGGTTTGTCTTTGCTGGACCAGGCCTGGAAGTTATGATCCAAAAATATCCACCTCCCAGAGCTGTCTCCGTTTCTTCCTTCCGTGGAGACCACTTGGTCAATCTGATAGTCCGGAGCCTGTAACTTTTCCCCGATTTCGGATACTCGTGCCCTGTGCTTCCTGAGGCTTTCTTGCTTCATTTGCTGTCTTTGCTCCGCGTGCATGGCTGAAAAGTCCTGCCGAAGCTTTTGGATCTCGTAGAGAGTTGCCGAGCCTTTCTCACTTTCCAGCAATTCGCGTCGATTGGCCAGACTTTGCATAATTGGCCCGAATTCCGTCTCGAACCCTTTCCAGGAGGACAAGAACATTCTCTTCCATTCTGTGTAGTTTCAGCATTCACAAGCATCCGTAAAGTAGGGTTGTGGGAAAGGAAAGAGCTTACTGGGTCGTGTGAAGACTACCAGAGCTGCTTGATGGAATCTCAAGATGTCTGAATAGTAATCCTCGAGAACAGCGGCTAGAGCAGGGTGTTTCTCGAAGCTGGCCTGGTAATGCAGAAGACCAGGTATGGCTTTTCCGACCTGGTCATATACGTCGAGCAACTTGACGAGGAATTTTGGATAAGCCCGTACCATCTGAGATTAAGGGCTCCGTTTAGTTTCAAATTCAGATTCGAGAAGCACAATTTCATCGCTGGTACTCACCCGGAGCAGGAACTTGACCGGGCCCTTTCAAGCGTCAGCAAGTACCGACTATGAAGAAGGTTATCGTCACTCACCCATATGAAGCATACAAGCAGATTTGCGTCCACGAACACATCAATTACTTTGCCGAGCTGCTCTATGGCCTCGATGAAACCGTCAAGTCGTCGCATATGCCAGAGTTTCCCGTCCCATCCGTGATTCTGCTGCATATCGCGGCAAATGTCGCGCACATCTTGCAAAGTGCAGACGGCAAACTGACTGACAAGGTCTGGAGAAAGAGACCTTTTGAATCGACTGAGCGCTCGCTGAAAGCTATCCGCATTTGGTCCCGTCATCTTCAAGGGAGGTTACGTGTTACCGGAGTCCCTTCCTTCGGACTCTTATGGAAAGCGTGGCCAGCAACTAGATATTCTAGGACTGGTGGCGGGAACGATGAAGATTAGAGAACTAGCCAAAGGAGCTCATGGAAATGGATAAAATAGGATTGTGAGTTGCGCGAAGCCAAGGTGTACTTCAAGGCACCCTCACGCGGGGCCCAAAAGAGGGGAAAGGACATGCAAGGCTTGGGAATACCCGATCGTTTTGTGGCTGGGTACCTGCACATCTTTTCTCGACTTAGACGTGTTGGGCACTCATGCAGGGCTTGAAGGAATAGGAAATGTGCAGCAAACAACGGGCTAACTCGGTTTAACGGTAAATACAGTCATGGCCTTTCTGTGTCTCCAGCGTGATAGATTGTATGAAGTTATTGCCAGGTTTGACCCCTTGCTAATTCTCAGATGAAGTGCGCCATTGTGAGGGGCAGGCTGGCGATCCTTTCGAACAATACATAGAACAGTCGTCTTAGGGCGTCCAATCTCCCGTTACCAGGCTCCATCCTTACCCTCCCGGGGCCTCATCACCTAGCCTGGTCCACCAACTCCTGACACTACATGGATCGTAGGCTGAGCCACTCTTGCCTGGATAGGGTTACGGGTACCTCCGCCGCAAACCTCTCAGGTCAGCGTGGAGATTTCTAATTCGCAGGCATGTGAGATGCGAAGTTCGTGCATGACACCGTATTTCGTGGCGGCGGCTTAGCCACCCAGCTGTTGCGCTGTCACTCGTTGGCAACCCCTGGGCCCTAGCCCATTGGGTATGAGTCTATGACAATCGAGAAAACGCCCTGTCTCAAAAATATTTTGGTTGGGCGCCTTCAAGCGGTATGCCTCGCCAGAGCGTTTATTTAATTCCTCCAAGACTCTGGTTCGACAGCCAATAGTTCCGCCAGCCCCCCCCCCCCCCAAAAAAAAAAAAAAAAAAAAAAAAAAAACAAGATATTCTTTCATCTCAACACTATTATTGAAGAACGAAATGTATGCGGTGCTTGCGATGGGGCCTTTCACCCAAGATAAAGCAAGCCACAACGAGATTGACGAAACGCAGCCCCTAACTATGAAGAGGCTTGAAAACAGAGAGCAGGGAGGCCTTGGAACGTAAGGAATCCAGGTTCATTTAATATTACCATACGAGCTCGTCGTCGTGCCGTCCAGTGTCCACTGACCTTAACCTATATCAGTTCCTCAAGATATCCTGGAGAGCCAAGTGCCGATCACACATCGAACACAGGGCCGGTAGGAGCAGTTGAATCTCCTCCTGGCCCCAAATTGTTTGGCGATGAAGTCTGTTACGGCGCAGTAAGGCACAGAGTTTGTCAGAAAGACTGAATTATCACCTCTCACACTTTATCGTCAGTTAAATGATGCGGCGGCAAAGGTCCTGGGTAAAACCGGGATATCATGCCATTTGCCCGCTACCGAAAGCGCCTCACCATTCGCACACTTTTGTTTACGGGCGCAAGACCACTACTATGTACTCTGCTCCGAAACTGGAGCCGAGTTTGCGGTCTTGGATACACGGACCATCTCCAAGTTGAAGGCTCTCAGAGGAACGCCAATGGTGCGGTTTGAGGCTGTCGCCCAAACCAGCGCTCTAACGAAGCGTCAGAGGGGAGGTAAACTGGGATTGAAATCATTTGATGTGTCCATTAACATCTTTGGCTTAAGGTTGACCGCTGACGACGTGGCATCCCAACTATCAAGAGTCTCTGCATATCTCCAACACCCCAAGTCGTTGTCTGCTGGGGTCGAATACTACAACCCACAATTCCTCACATTTGCTGACGACAACTTAAATATGAATGACTTCATAGGCATGGGTAGTGAGTCCCCATGGGCTTTGAAGATCAAAGTTTCGGAAGAGGTTGGGAATATACTGGAGTCTCTGGCAGATGTGCCTGCAGAGGGGACCCTGGCGTTACCTGCTGGGCTCACCTCAACCCTCAAAAAGTAAGTAGTGAAACGAAACATAGCAATCAAGTGGAGAGTTTATGCTAAAGAGAGAAAACAACGCAGACATCAGGAGGATGGGCTGCGCTTTATTCTTCAAAGGGAAGATGAAGGATTCTGGCAGCAACTCTTGTCCCAGCTACGCCAAGGCGTGGCGAGTCTGTATGCAAAGGTCATTCTCCTCTTTTATAATGGATCCATCGGCTCATTACTTGCTAGTACCAAAGAGGTCACATCTATTTCCTTTGGCGGCCTGATCGCAGATGTAATGGGACTCGGCAAGACGCTTACTATGCTCACGGCGATCTTGCATTCTGCGGCCCTGGCAGAGAGTTTCGGCAACTTTTACGAGATGCGCGAAAACGAATCCGTGGAGGCCAAAGTTCGCACGAAAGCGACTCTGGTCATTGTCTCATCAGCTCGTAAGTCGGAGAGGCCGTACGGTTGAAAATGTTCTAACCATTCGCAGAGCTTCTCGAAAGTTGGGGTTCGGAAATACGAACGTAAACAATTGTGACATCCCCCTTCGATATTCAGCTGCTAATCTCCATAGTCATTTTTATCCAGGAGTTCTCAGTACCGTCAACTTCCACGGTCCCGATCGACCTCGAGATCCGGAGACTCTGAGATCATTCGACGTGGTATTGACTACATATGGAACGCTAGCCGCAGACCACGCCGGCCAAGGTATCCTCCAGCAAATGGAGTGGTATCGCGTAGTACTAGACGAAGGTACGGACTCTAGGCTACTTCTCTCTCATAAGTCGATGTCCAATAGCTGACGAAATCTAGCCCATTGGATTCGAAACTCTGGTTCTAAGCAATTTCGGGCTGCTGTAAGTCTCTCCAGTAGGAGCAGATGGTGCCTCTCTGGTACTCCCATCCAGAATAAACTGAAGGATCTAGCCTCTCTGGCTCAATTCCTCCGGCTTCCACCCCTTTCGACCAAAGCAGCCTTTCAGAAACACGTTCTGGGCCCGTTTTTGAAACGTAAATCCAACTTCGCAGGGCCCCTTCGAAAATACCTGAAGGCTTGCTGTTTGCGGAGGACAGAGAAGTGTCTGACTTTGCCACCTTCGAGACAAGAAGAGGTTGTACTCTCACTTTCATCTGAAGAGCGCAGACTTCATGATCTGGTATTGGATACGACAAAGCGGGAGATCGATTCTCTCAACTCTAAGAGAGATGTCTCCAGGCGCAATAATAAGCTTTTCACAGCGGTTATCAAAATGCGCATGCTCTGTAACGCTGGGACATTCTCATCGGTTGAAGATACTGAGGCGCCTCTGCTGCATTTGGAAGCCGAATGCGAGCGATGTAGGGCCACGGACGAAGACAGTCTCATGCTTCTGGACGACTGCTCGTTCTGTCCAGGATGCGGCAGACCATTGGATTTGTCTTGCGCCACCCCGGGCTCCACCGACAGCCAGGGAAGCGACTCGGATGACAGAATTGATGATATAAGCATGGCCTTCGATGAGGTAGATCATGTTCTGGTAACACAGGAACATCCTGTCCCTCTTAGTGGCTTCTCGACGAAACTTTCTGCTGTTGTGCAGAATGTAGCGCGCAGCAGGCCGGAAGATAAGAGGTAAAGCGTATTATGTCCTTACCTTCAGTGGTCTCTCGCTAACCTAGCCAGCATTATCTTCTCATACTGGACATCGACACTGGACCGCCTCTCCCAGCTTCTCGAGGAAGCCAAGATTCCACATCGTCAGGTAGACGGCCGGGTGGGTTACGCAGAGAGATCGAAACATCTCAAGGCGTTCAAGGAAGACCCCCAACTGCTTGTGCTCTTGATGACCATTGGAACCGGTGCTGTTGGGTATGTCCATCTCAGCCGGCTGACCCCTTTGCTAAGACAGATTAATTGATACCTACGTCGCAACAGATTGAACCTCGCAATTGCCAACAGAGTGCACATTGTCGAGCCTCAGTGGAACCCAGCAGTAGAAGAACAGGCGATTGCGCGAGTCCTTCGTATAGGTCAGACTCGAGAAGTCACGATTTTCCGATATCTCGTGGAGAACAGTGTGGAGCAGGTACTCGACTTGGAGATGCACTTCTTCTGGTTTAAACCCCGGCTAACTGTTTGCAGAATATCATCAACCTTCAACGAAAGAAAAAACACCTTGCAAGGTTCACCTTTGACGTGGAGACCAAAGGAAACCTATCAGAGACGCTCGAGGTGAGACACTAATGATGCTGACGGCTTTGCGTCATGCTAACAAAGTGATAGGATTTCCGACAAGTTCTGGGTATTAATTTTAAGAGGAAGCGGAAGGCTTCTGGGGAATGGTTATCTCGAGATAGGAGATTACCAGTGCGCCCCCTGAACCGGAGGGACCTCGAACCGAATGAAAGGCAAGACGATTTCATATAGATAGCCCTGGGACAGAGGAATTGGTCTCACTCAGATAATTGCCAGCTCTTCCCACCAGTTGAATAGAACCTCCGAGTTGATATGAAATCTGAACGGGGTACCTAGAGCGGAATCTTTATCTATGGGAGAAGAATTACCGTCTCGCTATTCATGATGCCGCGTGTTGTAATACGGAGACTGGTGGTTCACACAGGTTATGGTCTAGACAGTCTTCAGTAAAGCTTAATTCAATTTCCCCTATAGACACGGTTCTCGTTACCATTATCTATGATTGTCAACCGACTTGGGGTACAGTTATTATGCCAAGGTAATTAAAGAAACGATTAGGGAATCCGTTTCGAGGAGAGCTCTAGCTAGTGGCACTCATTTACTTGTTGTTCTGGCTTCTTCCCTTCGTCTTATGTCTGCCCTTGGCGTGTAACGCATTCCAAAGATACCAAAGACTTTGGAAGATCCCTTTTCATAGGTGCCACAGTTTGGCAGTCCATCGCGATATTTCTCAACACTCCATTGCAATAAGCTAACAAGATCCACTCTGTTGGCGAGCAAGACTTATTTCGGACTGCGCTGGCGCCATCTACTTGTAGCTCTTTGTAATGTGGACCACCACCAAAGAATGGGCGCATGGTTTAGTGGTATAATTCCTCTTTAGCATAGAGGCGGTCCCCGGTTCGATTCCGGGTGCGTCCAAGGATTTTCCTTTTGACTTTTTTGTCTCATTTTCAATCACCTTTTCATATACGTCTCCGGCTTGTAAGTCGCCATTTCGTTTATTAGCTTCCTTTTTGCCCTACATTCTTCACCATCTCGACAGTTTTGGGGTTGTCCTCTGCGGTCCGGATTGCAAGCCGCGGCAATGGTGCCGTCGATTTCGAATTGATGGCGGAGTCGAAGCTCGAGGGAAACCAAGGCATCGGTCTTGTCCCTCAGCCTCGACATCGGCAAATGAGGCCGGCGATGTCGCGGGCCTCAAACTCTACAACTGGAAACTTACAACCTCGACGTTCCGTCTACGACATCAAGCTGCCACGTTGGGTCCATAACTGTTGAGGCATGTGGCCGTTCTCATCTCATTGTTTGAAGTGGTACATGAACCATCTCTCCTCGGCGCTGTCAATCCTCGAAACAAAACTGAGATAACGCATCGATCGATCAGTATTCTGATAATCCTTCCCCAAGCTACTCATAAAAACCCCATATCCGGAAGGAAGACGGGAAGTCGAGATGGAACCCTGTCAGTGGCAACATCACCACAATCATCATCATCACTGCCCCTCCGACCCGTGCCACTACCACTACCACTACCACCAACACCACTACGACCGTCCGGGCGACGATGGCCGAGGTCATCACCGGCCCGCGCCTGTAGACACGAATACTAAAGATGGGGTTCTTGCAGAAACCGAGACTCCCCCCACCAACGCTCCACCAGACACATGGCCTCGCGTGGGCGTCGTCTGGGCGGTCTTGATCCTCGCAGTCGCTTGCTTTGTGGCACTCTTCCTAGATTTTTGCCGATCGCTACGCCCCGATCGACGTCTGGCCAAAAGTAAGGGAAGTGGAGATCGAGATCGATGCACCACGCAAAGAAAGGCTCTGGTAACTGCTACGCAAGCAGAAAAAGACGCCAAGAAAAGTCACCGAGAGCTGCACCTACTCGAAACAACCGAGGCAAAGGCTATCAGACTACGAAGAGCTATAGCGGATTCTAAAGGCGATAACCGACGGATATAGGGAGTAGCGGCTGAGTCCACCAGAGCAACGAATGCTGCCCGAGAGTAATAGGCAGAGAGGGAGGAGGAGGGAGGAGACTTCCAAAAGTTGTATCAGTAGCTGATCTTCTAGTTACCAGAGGCTGTGTGGGAAAGGAAAAGGGAAGAGGGCTCTCGCGATCATTATCTCAGTCTCAGCTGTCAACAATTGCTTCCAATCTATAATGATCTTACTTAGAAGAGGCTATATCATGTGGCTGTGGTCGGTCCCTGTTGCTTTCACTCCTTCCCTCTTTCCTCCTCTGATTCTAGCGCTTTCCTTCTTTATTGACTGCGACGGAGCCAACCTTCTTTTCCATGTTTGGGATACACGCGGACTTATTCTTGTTGGGTATTCTCCGCGGAACATATTATTGTGTCCCGATTTCTTGACCAATCCATCATCGCCATCTTCATCACCATCGCCGCCGATCGATACTCGGCAGCAGCTGCGACAACTTTTCTTCTTGAGGCTCCCATTACTTTTTTTGAGGTTTCGTCTTTGATTCTTGCTCCTTGCCCCAACGGACAAGATAACTCGCTGAATACACCGGAATCCAGCAATGGGACTCTTGGCAGAGCCACGGCCGGGAACAATTTACCCATCTCCTAGCATCGTGTGAGCGCCAGGTCTGTTTGCAAATCCTGCTGCAAGAACTGTCGAACGTAACCACCAGCAGAAAGCCGAGCAACAATACCACGACGACCGCCGCGACCACCACCACAAGGGACGCCGGTCGGCACCAAAAACAGGCACCAGCAACATGAGAGCAGGAGCAGCGCCCGTGAGACGACCGATAGGAGCACGAGATGCAGAAGTAACACGGGTAGTGAATGCATGTGGAGCAATTCCAGCCGGGACGGCATGACCTCGAGGCCCAACAACCACCAACACCAGCACTGGCATGAAGGGCCGTCGAAGGGAAGGAACGACAGAAGAAGGCGGGGGCCAGGGAGACGGTAGAAGAGTTGGCGAGATATATCCGAGAACCAACCAGCGTCCAGACCACACGAGCAACCACGACGACTTCGACTACTCGACTTACACAGGTGGCTCTTCAGGTCTGGTATTAAGGGCGCATAGGCCCATACTGTCCAACTCTTCCACTTTTCGCCGCCGTCATCTGCACGGCCGCACGATTGGCTTCACAACACAGAAGTCGACATCGAGCAATGGTTCGGCAGTGAAGCCGCGAATGTGGTCCTCACCACATTCTCCCGATACCCTAAATTATCCGTGTCTTTCCACGTCGGACCTCCCGGAAACCGGCAGTGCTGAGCAATCGGGTCTATGCTCTCCCAAATTACCCTGCGGGATCGGCTCCTACACCCTGTCGCCGCACAGCTCATGATGGCCAGCACACTGATGGCCAGGACACTGATCGCTGCAGGTATCAGCGCCTACGCCCTCGCACGCCCCCGCTGTCACGACGTCTGGCAATCCTGACTCCAGGCTGAGCAAGTCTAGATAGATTTGGGGGGTAGGCTGTGTTTTGCTGTGGGTATCTCGCTGACCGACGTGGCCTTTGGATTAATCCTAAAGATAAAGGACCTGGCCGACTATAGCACCGTACCATCTTCAACCCGAAATTATTTCGTTTTTTATGAGGAGTTTCAGATGAGGAAGACAGAATGGAGAACGGGGAGAAGGGCAGACGGTGCTTTTATATTTCCAGCCTCGAAGCCGGAACGCCATTCTTGCCCTGAGATCATCCAGAGGCATCTCGATATCCTAAAGTAGTAGCCAATCAATGCCATTCACCATCATGATTACAATGGATTAATGTCCAAAAAACACTGTGTCTTGACTTTTGTGATTGTGATCACTAACTAATAAGCCAAAAGTCATCTAACTCGGCTTCCATTGTCATCTTCAGAACGAAATGCGCAACCTTCTGCCCTTCCACGATCGCCCACAGGAGTGTCTCAGTTCAGGCATACCTCATAAGTGATGATATTGTGTTAAAGGTACCATTCCAATACCCCGTTCTCCCCGATGCAGAGATAACGCCACTACATAGGTCTCGCACCCAGAAGCTTTCTTTGCCTAGAAGCGGGATTGACGGTGTACGAAACCTTGAAGATACACCTCCGCCTCTGCATAGCTCGATGGCTTGAGGCGGCCACCAGAAAATACTTATTCCTAGAGCGGGCGTTGTCCAATTCAAGCGAGACAGATCGACACCGCTGGGCTTTAGAGCTTTAGATGAGATCATTCATTTAAAATGGGAGGACGGGACGGGCTCCGCCGAGTAAGTATAGAGATGCCTTGAGGCAGGTGAAGGAGTCATTGACCCTCTCGACCACAGTACTCCACCGGTTTCGGGGGAGGAGCGTTGCCACATGTGGACTGCTATACATCAGGAAACCCTGACTGGAAGGACGTCGAGGAGTATATTCCAACGCATAAGGCTTTCAGACATGAGGTGTACATGGATATCTGGTGGTGATCGGTTTCGAGCCACCCTGAAGGTAATAAACCCCGACGGGAACTATGCAAGTAAAATGCTACAACATAGCCGTAATGATTTCTCTACTTCAAAGCCATGGTTGATGTTCATCGGTGAATTCGGACATTATTCCTACCAATCTAACCACCAAAGCACTAAGAACCGAAGCAGTTGAGCTGTAGGGACATGTCTAAAAGTTTGCAGGCATATCCGGCCAGAAAGCCTCCTCGGCCGACAACACCGCAGACCACACCTTAACCGCCCTCTCGAATAAATCCTTCTTAATAGCCTCCCCATGGATGGCAACCTGCTCCCCCACCCCCTGGTCGATAATATCCCCCAAATCCTTCACAAACTGGACAAACTCGTCGCAGGTCCAATTATTGATAAACTCCGTCCTCAACGCGCCACCGTCAGCGTCCAGACTCGCCTCCTGCTCGACAAGTTGAGCCTTGGACCAAGTCCACGCATCCAAATAACACTTTTCCGTAGCATAAAACAAAACAGCACCCTCCAACCAGGGAAGAATTTCGGGCCCAGCCTCAAGGGACCCAAACAATCCCTCATACCGACGCAGACCCTCGAGTTTATCGGCATCTTCGACCTTGCCGCCACCCCGCGCTTTCAGACTAACCTCGATACCGAACTTCCTAGCTACGTCGATAAAGAACTTCTCCTCGCGACGGATGTTGACCATCGACGCAACAATCCAGTCCAGCAGTTTAATAGAAGCGGGATCGCGATCGGCGGGTTCGGGGACTTGTTGGGGCAGATCGAGGATGGTGAGGAGACGGCCGATGGCTTTGATGTAGCTGTGGATGTAGAGGCGGTCATTGGCGAGCCATGTTCCTAGGACGTCTTTGGGGGTCTTGCCGAGAGCGGCGGATTTGAGAAAGTTGGATTGGGTGGCTTTTTGGAAGGCGGAGGGGTTTGAGGAGAGGAGCTCCGCGGTGATCGAGTGTTTGGACATTGTGATGATGATGGGGAGATGGATGAGATTGGAATAAGGGAGTCGATTTTATGGAGTGTGCTGGATGTGAAGTTTTACAGACTAGTAATGTGAGAAGAGGTTGAGCCGGCGAAAGTGCATCATGATAAAATTGATCAAATGTGGTGTGCAGCGTGTCGTGCCAGTGACGACATTATTTGATGGCAGGAGCGGGGCACCATCGAAATGGCCTCAGTGCTCTGGGCACGAAGGAAGCTTGGGTGGGGGCTCCATGTGGGCTTGACAGCTTTTTGAGTTCCACTTGGTCTTTGGGGGATTCGTCGAACCCAGCATCAAGGTTAAGCTTCATTTCGCCTTCGTCGGCTAGAACACGCACAAAACTCGAAGAATGGTGGCATACCAACGCGGAGAGAGCAAGAAAGGTATAGTTATTATATGTGGCAGGGTGCAGAATACTCAAAGACCATGATCTGAGCGACGAATTGCTTCTACTTGCGAGGAACATGATGCGTTGAATCGGAGAAACAAGCCTTGAGTAGTAGAGCCGGCTCTCCCAACTGGCTTGACTATCCATGGTTCCCTCCGCTTCCCATTCAAGCACTCCTAATTACCGCAATAGAAAACTTCAAGTCAGGACGCCGTCGTTGCCGAGGTCAAGTCCCAGGGCGTCCCCCGGCTCCTAGCGTGAGTCTTTGGGACTGTTTTCAGGCTCGTCTCGTTCTTCCGCTGTGGCTTCCGCGACCCCCACCGCCCAGCGCCGCAGCTCGTCACGTTCATTCCCCTCCCACGTTACGGAGCCGGCACCAACACTTCTACCCTCACTCTCGTCATTCTCTCCGTTTGGTGTGTCGTCGGTAGCAGCGCCGCAGATCGCAGCAACGCGAAGGAGATCCCATGAGAGCTGTAGCAGCTCGATACTTGTGGTGTCTTTCTGGCCCTGGGCCCTGAGGATAAAAGTCTGACCAGTCTTGAGTTTCAACTCACCCGACTGAAGTCCTTCGTTTCCAGCGGCAAATAAGCGGCAATACAGGCCGCTTCGGGATCCAGCATCCCAGTAAGGACACACCTCCAGTTGTCTCTCTGTTTTCACTAAATGCAAAGGTTAAAAGACATAGTTCCAGCCGTGGGAAGGTGATGACTGGTGCTCACGACCTTGACGGCTTCACAAATTTGGTTGGTCTCCGTGGTATGGGGGCTTGAACTAGGTAGTATGTCCGACGGTGATTCGTGACTTGATACTTCCATCGGAGATTGAATTTGGCAAGTCTCGCGGGCCTGGCCATGATCAGAAGCCATAGAAGCGGGCGAGGATCCAGGGCGGTCGGCAACGAGGGCGATAACAGGGTTGGATGTCAGACGAGGGATGTGTGATTCGATTCGGGAGAGCCTCTGGGCAGAAACCCGTGCTTTCTTCGTCAGGTTCTCACTGAAGGAGGAGATTGAGGGGGGAATGACGCTTCTGACACACCGAAACCAGCCTGAAATGAGGTCCGGGCTTGGTGAGGACTAAAGGCAAAGAAGAACGTTTAGCGGATAGCTTCTTACATAGAACAGAGAGTGCTGTTCTGGTACCAAGAGACATACACGCCTTTATCCCTTGGACGGCTGTTTCACGCATAAAGTTGGTGAAGCCCTGAACCCACAACAGCTGGTTCAAGCCGGAAGATTTGTCGAGGCTACTCTTCATTTCTCTGACGAGTGCCTGCAACCTCATGATCGGGGCGACCATGACGATACCGAGTGTCATGGCGTTCAGCCCTGGTTCGTCGTAGGTCTTCGATAGCTTCTGTAGTTCTTCGAAAATTTCGCGCCTAGTTTCCAGGTCGGTGATGTAGTCCAGGACTGGTTCCTCGTCCAGCTCGTCAAAGAGGATATGTGAGAAGGCATCCGGATTCTCGTTTGGCAGTGCCTTGAGTCGCCGGACTTGGTCCCGGCCCAGTCGTGATTCCATCGATATGGTACAGCTCTTTGACGAAGTGACAGTGGTGGTGGAAGTGAAAAGGTGGAAACTGGGAGAAGGGAAAAAAAAAAAAAAAAAAAAAAAAAAAAAAAGAAATGGGCTCTCATGGAATTTGAAGCCTCCGGTGTTTGTTTGCCCAGGAGATTCCCGACATTCACATGCCGTTTTAATGATACCAGCATGCGACCTTTTTCAGTCAATGCTCCTGCCAAACCTGCCGACCGCGTCATGGTGAAGTATCTCGTATCTTTGGTGGGGAAGGAGCAGAAGGCGATGTTGCTTGTTTGCGGTCAGCACCAAGACTGGGCAGGAACGTTCTTCTCCGCCTTCCCCAGGCATGAAATCTTATATGGCGGGAAACTACAGGTTCTGGCAGATTTCAGATTTCTACGTCTTGGTATTGGTGGTCAGTGAAATGTCCGAGTGTGTCTGTGTCTTCATGCGGTGACTCTATGTCTGTCATGTGCGCTGCATGCCTCGAGCAAACTAATTACCTGATGAAGGCACAATCTCATCCACTCACTTTGGCAAAATATTCAAGAGAGAAAAGGTAGACGAGAGTTTGTTCATTGTCGTGATATCAGACTGTTCTTTTCCATCCTAGAGCCATGAAATCAGAACTTCCTTCCGAGAGAGTGAAAACTATCTCCGGAGCTCTGTCAAAACCTGCCATTCGAAAGGGGGAAAGGGGGAATGAGAAAAAAAGACAACAAGAGGAAGAAAAGGAAACCAAAGCAATCCAGACTCCCCAAGTCCAAACCAATCATCCATAATTCACACAAGCATCACTCACGAATCACTCCCACTCCTTGCAGAATCCCCCGGCGTCGACGCCGCTGGCGACGCGGACGAAGAACCCGACGGCTGCCCACGGCGCTCGGCGTCGCTGCTGACCTTCTTACCCATCGCTATGGCGGCGTGCTTGAGAAAGTCGTCGAAGCGCGCGAGGAGACCCGGTTCGCTGCTGAGGAGGAGCCTGCATTTGTCCTTGGCGGCCTTGATTTCTTCGCAGGTGGAGGTGGGTTTCATGGAGCCTAGTGTGGCCATGAGTTTGGTTTTGTCTTCTTTGCGGAGACGGGCCTTTGTGTTTGTTGGTTAGCCAGGATATACATGAAATGGATCGAAAATGACGAGGGCTTAAAACAGGGTGATGAGAGGAAGGGACCTCGGGGGCATGCTGAATGGAGAGGAGGGGATGGCTGGTCTTTTTTTCTTCTTTACCTCTACATCGGCCATATATCGAGCTACCTCGAGGTAGGAGACGGTCTTGGAGCCGGCCGCGAGAGTCTCATCGAACTCTCTAGCGCGGGCTTCGGGCGGGGGTGGACGAGACATGATGGGTCAATTGTGATTCACGGGGACTTGGCAGGAATGTTTGATGGGCTCGTTGTAAGGACAGTGTCTCCCTCTTATTTCTTCTTCTTCTATGCCTTCCTCTGTTTCTTCCTCTCTCTATTTAAACTCGTTCGCGGATGAGGCTGTTTTGGAGTGGTGAGTCTGCCCCGCGGAGGAGATTGCTTCGTTCGTCAAAAGGGCTTGAATTCCTTGTCGAGGCCCGCGATGTTGCTGACCACAGTGTCGCACCTTCCATGACGCATTCGGCCTCTACACAGCCACTTTTGGCCAAATTAGAGAGCCGAAAGCGGCACAACCCCGAAATCAAGCCTGCCAGAAGGCAACGCATTGATTTCTCTTGAGTGACTGACCAGTGCCGAGTCTGCCTTGCCAAATGCTAGGTGACATGGAGATCAGAACGACACCAAACACCACGCATACACACGCGACGTACGAAGCCCTTGTTCTGGGACCAATAATTTCGCGACAATGACATATTGACAATGAACAATGAAGCTACTCTTTCTGCATAACACACCAGGACCCGAGTCTGGAGACCGGAGAAATAAATAATAGGGCGACGCTACACTAAAAACAGAACCGCAAGGCACGTTCCGACAACCTGGGTCACGCCCGGAAACTGCCTTCCCATCGCGACCACGCCACCACTCTGCACCGGCAAATTATCACCGCCCTCGCTAGCACCGGCAGCATCAGTAACCTGCCTGAGCTGCACAGCGCCCTTCGCTTCCGATGGCGTTTCGATAGCGGGCAGCATAGCATCGAGGATCGCGCAGTTGTCCTGCTGCGTGCGTGGCATCTCCTCCATCTTCGTATTCCCCGTCTGGAAGAGCAGGCGCTGCTTCGCGTCCGTGGTCCAGGGCATCCACGTGGGCATGTCAGCCCTCTCTACTTGCGTCACGAAATCTGCTGTTTCAGCGTTGGGATCGAGCGATCGGACGAACTTGGCCCAGTAGGCCATGGTAACGGGAACGATTGGCGCATTGGACGTGGAATAGCTCTTCGGCGGGGCTCCGTCCGTGTTGTTCGGTCCGAACACGCCGTTGAGCTCGACGGTGTGGTAGGCCCCGAAGCCGAGCTCTTCCTGCTCCTCGTCGAGGACGCCGTACCGATAATTCCACGTCAAGACGCCGTCGCGGGCCTGCGCATCTTGGAGCTTAGCCGTAACGCAGTGCGCGCGGAAGTCTCCATGAGCATTCGCCAGCTGTCTCCATAGTCTTCCCGAATTGTTGAAAACGGGCTGCTCGACGTCGATGTACGTTTCGCGAATGAGCGCGAGCGAGTCGTCACTCAGCGCGCCGGAAGCCTGGTCATTGACAAACTTGAGCGCCGCCTCGACGGTGTCCGTGTCCCTCGGAACGCCCTTCGTGCCCTCGTCGGTACAGGATCCCGCGATCGTGGGCACGCGGAGGTATTTCCCCTCGGCGAACCGGTCCAGCATAGGTGCCGGAACGAGATCGTCGTCGAGGTGCGGGTTGAACTGGCAGTTTTGGGTCTGGAGTGCCGAGGCATTGACAGAGCGGAGACACGCGAAGGTGTCGGCGGATGAGAAGCAACCGGCTGCCGAGACGAGGCAGGTGTATTGTTCTTGGCCTTGGGACATGGAGCGGACGGTGGCGAGGGAGACGGATTCCATTATAACGCCTTTGAAGAGGTTTGGGTCGTTGTCTGCGAAGGCGGAGAGGAGAAGGGCGATGGATGTGGCGCCGGCCGAGTCGCCTGCCATTACGACCTGGTCGGGATTCCCGCCGAACTAAAGAAGTGTTATTTTGTTAGTACTTGTCGCCCCTATTCTTCTGTCCATGAGAGAGAGACATACCCCGGATATGTGAGCCTGAAGCCACTTTAACCCTTGGATCAAATCCTTCAACCCGTTATTCAAGCTCCCTCTTTCCTTGACCTCTTCAGACTGCAAGAACCCAAAGGGCCCAACCCGGTAATTCACCTGCACAACCACAATATCTCCAAACCTGGCCAGCGCGCTCCCGTTAAAGTTTGCGTTCGAATTCGACTCGAACCCGCCGCCCGGTATGAAATACATCACGGGCACGGGGCTCTCCGTGGTGGCTGCCGTGGGAGCGAAGATGTTGAGGTAAAGGCAATCTTCCGACACGGTGAAGCGACGGTTCGGTTGCATCGTAAAGTCATTGGGGCTCCTCGGGAGGCAGATCGGTTTGAACTAATCTTGTTGTTACGATGAAGTCCTTACTTGAGGAAGAGGAGTGCTCTTTTCTTTACCTGCGTCGCGTCGACAACCTGCTCAGTCGCGGGCGGATCTATCGGCGCGGAAAACCTCAGCTCACCCACTGGCGGCGCGGCGTACCTGACGCCTAGCCATTGCGTTACGCCGCTCTGTTGGCTCACGCCTTGGAGGCGCGTGTATCCTAGGTCCACGAGGGGGGCGACGGCCATCGCGGGGCCGATGAGGCCAACGAGGCCCAGGGAGAGTACTAAGGGTCGCATCTTTATTTCGAGCGATTGGGGATGGGTTTACTGCATTTTCCTTTGATGATTCGATTCGGGAGTATTTTCAATTTTCATTCCAGGCCAGCAGTAGTAACATAAAAGACCTCAAAAGCCGATCGAGGTTTTGGTGCCGCAACACCCATCTTGGCGACCTCACCTGACAAAGAGTTGGCGGGTTTCATGTCCGTTTTGGTTCTCCTTGCGTATGATTGACGATCGTTTATTATGGGATCTGTCTTTTGAGCCGTGATGTAGGAAAAAAGATGGTTCGTTTGTATAAGAAAACGAAACGGGGGTTCTTTACCCGGACCCTTTCTCCGTGGGTGTCGGAGAGTGGAGATCATAGTTGGGAATAGCATCATTGTCGGCAGAGCTCCGAGAGAAGAGGCGGAGGGGGGCAATTGAGCATCTCAATCAGGAGAGGATCTCCAGAATTAAAATTGAGGAGCCGGAAGGAGTCGAAAGAAAGAAGAAACGAAAAAGAAGAAACGAAAAAAAGAGGTAGAAATATTCTTAAATCATTTCATGAATCTGCGTCACTTCTGTCGCTCATTACCCAAACCTTATCGAAGAATCCGATTGGGGTGAATGGAATCCAGACAATCTTGCCCATTTTTTCGATGGTACAAAGACAGCATCAGACGGTGTTGGAGAGGGTCCTGAAGGGCAGCGTCCTCTTCCAGTCCTGGGTACTGCATGCCCCCCAGAAGAAAGCTCTGCTCTATCCTCAGACAAGAATCTTCAGAGAGACTTACATGAAGCATGCCTTTGGTCTGCCTCTCTCTCGATTGATCCAATGTCAGATATCACAGACGCATTTACCTTTCGGTCTTGGTGGACCTACTAGGAGCCTGTGGAATCCAACCTCTCTCCTATTCCTATAATGTCGACCCCCGATCGTAAAGGGCACCCATTGACGACTCGAGCCGACTTCCTTAACATCACTCGCAGAAGAGAATCCCCTCATAACGTCTTTGAGACTCGTCGTGATGGCGGGAAGGCTCGCAGGCAACTGTGCTGAGAATCCAGTGGTTGATTCGTTTCAAAGACATGCAGCCTCTCCCAAATCTCTTCAAATCATTCACCATACAACTTAAGATGAGAATGGCTATGAACACATCTTTTCTAGAACCTCACACCCCCCAGAGATAGAAAGAAGTTGTCGTCTTCATTTGGCGCCGGTACCTGGTAGGGTAGATACTCGATGGGTATATCCGGCACGGCGATGTCCTCGTGGCTACGAGACTCACCATTAACCTTGTCCAGCTTTCCCATAAGCGAAGCCACCGACGCCGCCACCCGCCCAGCCTCCTTTGAGACAGCGCTCTTCGCCTGCCAGATCTCGCTAGCGCGGATGAGACTTCGCTTTATGGCAGTGAACTGCTCATCGGCCTGTATCAGAGCGTTGGCTTCCTCTACGCTCCTAACACCCGTTACCGGTCTGTACAGGTACGTGCAAAGCACCGACGTAGCCGTGAGGAATTCGCGCCACACGGAAGAGGACAGTATCCGCGAAGTTCCAGACAGAACCCCATTGGGTTGCATTTCCGAATACATGACGAGAAGCTGTGTGACATGGACGTAAACTTCATCGAGTCGGGGATAGCCTCATACGTGCCCCGCAAAAGCCTATCGAGGCGGTCAACCTTTGTGGCTGGATCGGAATTTTGATCTTCGGTTGTGCTTAGCGTCACGTCGAGGACAGGCGTTGAAATGACGATAGACAAGACGATTAGCCACCCTCGGATGGGGGATAGCATTTACCAACTCCGCCTTAGATATTTAACTCTGGGATATTCTGTTGCTAGTTCGAGAACTTATTGCTTTGCGACTTGTCATGGTGAAGCTCATTTACTTTTTCTGCCTACAGGAGACGCATGAAAGCTGCTGTTTGTCTCTTCGCCGGCTTGGTGGAACTCTCGACGAGGTGCTGCTAGACGCTCCACGGTCCATCACAGAGATACCGCAAAAGTTCCTTGCAAAAAAAAAAAAAAAAAAGGCTTGTTTAGTGAGAAGCGCGATGGCCCTGGATTAGGAGGCCGGCGTTGACAGGACCGGAGCCCGGATATCGTTGAAGGCTTTAGACTTTCAGAATGCTCCCGGGGCTCCTTCCGATCTTTACGTCCGACCCTCCGGAGCCCTTCACACTCCGACCCTCTGAGGCGTGCAGTGTGGCTGATCTGGCGGAAAAGGTGGGGTGGACGATGTCAAGGGAGGCAAACTACTGGAGAGATCGATGATCAAGTCTCACGCATCTACTCCGTAGTAACAAGAGCTAAACCAGTTTTGTCGATAGTGCAACTACTCTTTCCTTACCAGGGAATTCTCCAACGATCAGCTGGTCCCAAAGAACTTGGGGTCGCTCTGTCTCCTGACCGTGTCAAGGTGAAGCAAAAGGGTGAAGCATCGTGCCGTTCTGTTGCAGAATCCTTTTTCTCCTTTTTGTATGGTATCGAGGCTTAAGCATTTCCACGGTAATGACAAACAATATCTCGATAATGCTACTCAGGACGAAAGCTGTGAATTTTTCCAGTTGCCTTTCCCCTTTTACTCTTTAGATAGGAGTAGTGTGTCCCGCCCGGAACCAGTGCCCCGGAACGAGCCCGGACGATCAGGTCCGGATGGTCGGGTCCTTGATGACCTTGGTTCCCAAGCCCGCGCGGCGATCCAAACCGAGTTTTCACAACGACAATCTCAGATGCATGCGTCATGTACGTCAGCAGTTACCCGGGATCGCCTATTAAAGAAGCTATTTTATTCCTGAATTTCCACCTCGAGCTTCTATCACCCATGTCTCCTCTCTCATTCCCTTCCCATCTAGCCTAGGACTCCGGGGTACTGTCCGTTGCACTTACTCTTCAAACCTGGCCATCTACTCCTTTTAGTCCCTCACTCTTTTCAGGGTGCATTGGTCATGCCTGCACAGTCCGACTCTAACTCCTCTGGGGAGGATACTCTCCGTGCCAAGAACCAGGATGAATCTGCCAACACGCTCGCCCGTGTGGCCACGGACTTACAAGCTCAAGGCATCCTGACACGAACCGGCGACACCCCCATAGACCCTCGATTAGACCCGACGAGCCCACAGTTCGATCATTACCGCTGGGCGCAAACTGCGCTTCAATCCCTTAATCAGGGTGAGATCACCCTCCAGCGCCAGGGCGTCGTCTTCTCCGATCTCTCCGTCACCGGCTCTGGCGCCGCCCTCCAATACCAGGAAACCGTCCTGTCCATCTTCACGCTACCCTTCCGTAAGCTCGCCGAGCTCACCCGCGGCAAGGACCGACTAACCGCCCGCCGACGCATCCTCGACAAAATCGACGGTCTCCTCCAAAGCGGCGAGTTGCTGCTCGTCCTCGGCCGTCCGGGAAGCGGCTGCACGACTTTCCTCAAGACGCTCTGCGGGCACTTTTCCGGCCTCAGACTTGAGCCCGAAAGTAACATCCACTACCAAGGAATCAGCATGGAGCAAATGACCAGACAGTATCGCGGCGACGTTGCTTACAACCAGGAAGTCGACGAGCACTTCCCCCATCTCACCGTCGGCGAGACGCTCGCCTTCGCCGCATCGGCCCGCGCGCCGAGCCAACGTCCTGGCGGCCTAACGCGATCCATTTACATCGACACCGTCGTCAAAGTTGTCCTGGCCGTCTTTGGCCTCGCGCATACCGTCGATACCAAAGTCGGCGACAGTTTTGTGCACGGCGTCAGCGGCGGCGAGCGAAAGCGCGTCAGTATTGCCGAGATGTTCCTCTCTCGTGCGCGCATCGGAGCGTGGGATAACAGTACCCGCGGCCTCGATGCGGCTTCTGCTCTTCAGTTCGTTCATGCTCTACGTCTGTCGGCTACGATGGGTAAATGCTGCCACGCTGTTGCTGCCTACCAGGCTTCGAGCTCCATGTACGAGTTGTTCGACAAGGTCATCGTCCTATACGAGGGTCGGGAAATTTTCTACGGACCTACTGACCGCGCCGTCGCGTACTTTCAAGAAATGGGTTGGCTTAAAGATCCTCAACAAATCGCCCCCAATTTCCTAACTTCGGTCACAAACCCCGGGGAGCGACAACCACGTCCCGGCATGGAGGAGAAGGTGCCGCGCACTGCGGCAGAGTTCTCGCAGTACTGGAGGGAAAGTGAGGACTACCGCCAGCTCATAGTAGAGATTGAGGACTACCGAAAGAAGTACCCTCTTGACGGCGAGGCACTTGCCCAGTTCCAAGAGACTCACACCAAGCAACAAGCCCGGTTCTCCCGACCAACAAGTCCCTATCTTCTCTCCAAGTCCATGCAGACCAGGCTGTGTCTAACAAGAGCGTATCAACGGATGCGCAACGACCTACCTACAACCTTGTCGACCGTCTTCGTGCAGGTTGCCCTGTCTCTAGTTATCGGATCCATGTTCTACAACTCGCCCAACACGAGTAACGCCTTTTTCCAAAAGGGCGCGGTGCTTTTCTTCGCCATCCTCATGAACGCCATCATCACCCTCAACGAGATTATGCTGCTATACTCCCACCGGCCCATCGTGGAGAAGCAGGCAAGATATGCCTTTGTCCACCCATTCACCGAAGCCCTTGCCAGCATTCTTATCGACCTACCCATCAAATTGGCTCGCTGTACCGTCTTCTGTATCATTCTCTATTTCCTGACAAATTTGCGTCGCGAGCCAGCTCAGTTCTTCGTCTTTTACCTCTTCGTGATCACCTCAATTCTGACCATGTCGGGCCTCTTCAGGACTGTGGCAGGGTTTACCAAGTCGATCGGCACAGCCATGGGCGTCGCCGGATTGACGGTCCTCTGCATTGTCGTATACACCGGTTTCGCCTTACCGCCGAAGTACATGCATCCGTGGTTTTCCTGGATCCGCTGGGTCAATCCCATCTACTACGCTTTCGAGGGCCTCGTCAGCAACGAATTCCACAGCCGTCAGTTCCAGTGTTCCGCATTCATCCCGCCCTACGGAACGGGCAACTCGGCCATCTGCGCCTCGGTAGGTGCACTCCCGGGCCAGAGGTTTATCGGGGGCGACGAGTTTATCAAGAACAACTACACTTATCGACACGCCCATCTATGGCGCAATTTCGGCATCCTGTTTGCCTTTATGATTTTCTTCCATTTGACGTACCTGCTGGCCGCCGAGTTTTACCATGTCGGGCATTCTAAGGCGGAGACCTTGGTGTTTCGTCCCGGACGCGCCCCTCGCTCCCTTCAAGAAACCGATGTTGAAAGCCATCCCGTCGAAGCTGATTTGAAAACGACCGCTGGCGATCGTTTGATAAATCTGCCAGAGCACAAGAGCGTTGTGATGTGGCGCGGGATCAGCTATGATATTCCCGTCAAGGGCGGAACGAAACGCCTTTTAGACGATGTCAGCGGCTGGGTCAAGCCGGGCACACTCACAGCTCTCATGGGAGTGTCCGGTGCGGGAAAGACGACGCTTCTTGACGTTATTGCCCAGAGGGCGTCCCTCGGAGTGGTAACCGGTGATATTTTAGTCAACGGTCGCCCCTTTACCGCCAGCTTCCCGAGACGCACCGGGTATGTCCAGCAGCAGGATCTCCATCTAGAGACAGCCACCGTCCGCGAGGCCCTCCAATTCAGCGCCATGCTCCGCCAAAGCCGGTCCACCCCGAAGGAGGAAAAGACGTCCTACGTGGAGGAAGTCATCCAGATTCTGGGCATGGAGGATTTCGCCGAAGCCGTCGTGGGTCGTCTAGGCGAGGGTCTCAACGCCGAGCAGAGAAAGCTGCTGAGCATCGGCGTCGAGCTCGCAGCCAAGCCCGACTTGCTGATCTTCCTCGACGAACCGACTAGCGGTCTGGACTCCCAGAGCTCGTGGACGATCTGTGCGCTGCTTCGAAAATTGGCTGACCAGGGCCAGGCTATCTTGGCTACTATCCATCAGCCGAGCGCTCTACTCTTCCAAACGTTCGACCGCTTGCTGTTTCTCGCCAAGGGAGGACGAACGGTGTATTTTGGAGATATCGGACCGCAGTCGAAGATTCTGTTAGATTATTTCGCTCGGTGCGGCGCCAGACCTTGCATGTCTGATGAGAATCCCGCCGAATACATCCTGGAAATGGTATCCGGAGACCAGGCAACGGATGTAGACTGGGTACACGAATGGAGAAGTAGCCCCGAGCAGAAAGAAGTACAAGCCGAGCTTGACCGACTTCAAAACGTTGCTGCCGCGCCCGCTCAAGACGACGCCGCATCGAAAGAATCGAGAGGGGACTTCGCCATGCCGCTCCGCAGCCAATTTTACCTCGTTTGCGTCCGGGCTTTCCAGCAGTACTACCGCCAACCCGATTACATCCTGACCAAATTCGTTCTCGGCATCGCCACCTGTTTATTCGTCGGCTTCTCCTTCTTCGACGCCGACACTTCCCAGCAAGGGTTCAACAATGCCATGTTCAGCATCTTCTTACCCTGCAGTATCTTCTCCACGCTCGTCAACCAGATCATACCCAAGTTCGTGGCCCAGCGAGCCCTCTACGAAGCTCGCGAGCGACCGTCGCGCGTGTATTCCTGGAAGGCCTTTATTTTCTCCCAGATCCTAGTCGAGATGCCCTGGCAGCTTCTCCTCGGAATATGCGCCTGGGCATCCGCCTTCTATCCCGTCTTCGGCACCAGCAACACCTCCGAATCCCAGGGCCTCGTCCTGCTCTTCCTCGTCCAATTCTATCTCTACGCCGCCACCATGGCCCAAATGGCCATCGCAGCCATCGAGAACGCCAGCGTCGCGGCTATGCTGGGCACGCTGATGTTCGGTCTCTCCTTCGTGTTCAGCGGCGTCCTCCAGCCTCCCGACGCGCTCCCTCGTTTCTGGATCTTCATGTATCGCGTCTCCCCGTTCTCCTACTACATCGCAGGGCTGTTGTCGGCGGCTCTGCATGATCGGGAGATCACCTGCTCGGACGTCGAGCTGAGTGTCCTGGATCCTCCCGCCGGTCTAACATGCGGCGAGTATTTTGCCAAATTTTTGACTGTGGCACCCGGGAGGTTGTACAACCCCAACGATACGGTCTCCTGCCAGTACTGCTCCATGTCTTCGGCTGATCAGTATCTCGCGATCCGCAACATCGATAACGGTCAGCGATGGCGCAATTATGGTATTTTCTGCTGTTATTCTATATTCAATGTCATCGCGACGGTTCTTTTGTATTATTTGTTCAGGGTGAAGGTTTGGAAGCTCCGCAAGTCGAATTAGATGGGGAAGTATCCAGCAAGCCCAACAATTTTTCTTTAATCTTACAAGCTAGATAGAAGCCAGAGTATTTATTGAAAGATACCAAACTTTTGATTAGAATTGGAAGTCTTAGCAAATAACCGTAGCTAGCAAAAGTCTAAGAAAGAACAAAGAAATAGACCCGTCGAAAAAAAATCGACAAAAAAGTGCGGTGAGTCGGGATTGAACCGACGACCTTCAGATAGACTGAACCGAAGTTTTAACCGAAGTTTTTCCTTCAGTCTGACGCTCTCCCAACTGAGCTATCCCCGCTTTGGATGATTTTTAACGGGTTATCGATGACTATCAACACCTGAGCATTCCCGCCAGAAATGAAGCGATGAACGCCGCGTCCATGAGTTTCCTCCCAGTTCGAAAAACGGCTTTTTTTTGCGGTCGGGTCAGGTGGTCTTTCAAATTAGGACCAGGTCGTATGTGTACCCGAATCCGGAAAAAGGGGGACTCGATGAAGGGAATACAGGTCGGCTCAAAAATATGAACAAGAAATCCCCCCTCCTCTCCAGATAATACGGGAACCCTAGAGAATATAAGACGGGCCCTCCTACGCCGATGCCTAATTTGTCGGTCATTCAAGCAGTCGACCCCCAAAGTACTGGTCGAATACACGCTTCACGACAGACATACCGTCTTGCCAAGGCCAACCGTCTTCACCCGGGAATAAGTAGTCCTTCGTACGCAGCAGAGCAGCGACACTCGTTTCCGTAAAATCATAACTCATAATTATATTCTATAAAGTATTGATACCCCATATTCTATACAATCTCATTCGTACACAAATCCCAGCCCGCCCCGTGGCTTATTACTTTGTACTCCCCTTCACTCAAGCGACATCCTTGCCTCGTCCCCGATGCCCCAAGACCCCTTCGAAAGCCCATGGTCCTGGTCTTGAATCGACATCGCCGCCGCCACCCCCAAGCCCGCCACCTCCACCTCGCTCCGCGCCTCGCTCGCGCCTCGGGACCTCTGGATCCGCTCCTTATCTGTATCCTGCGACCCGGGTGTCCCCGCCGGTACCGAGCCAGACGACGACCCCATCGTCGCTGACGACCGATCCGTAAGCTTCCGCCGAAGCGACGTCGGGCGGAAGAATGATCGGGACGATGTCGAGTGGAGGGACGAGCTATCGTAGCTGTCCTTTTCGTCGGCACGCTTGCCGTTGCCATTGCCGGCGATGGGCACACCGTTGGCATGGGTATTATTGTTGTTGTTCGAATAGACGGCGGTAGTATTGGCTTCGTAGTCGTCGCAGTCATCTGTAGCCCCGTCTGTTTCTTGAACAGGCGCTAGGGTGGAGATTGCCTTGCCAAAGCTACTCATAATGGGTGATTCCATCCTTTCTCCAATTGTGCTGTAAGCTTGTATCCTTGGAGGCGTTGTGACCAACGAGGCAGGCGGTCCATTGGAGGCTACCTTTGATTGTGCGGGAGCTTCGCTCTCCGCCGCAGTAGTCGCCACGCCAGAACTCTGCTCTTCCTCTTGCTCCTCGTCGTCACCTATCTCGACCAGTTCGGCATCGCGATACCACTTTCTTCGTCTCGTCCAGCGACCCCATCCATCTAATCCGCGTCGCCCATTTTGCCACTACGGATTGGTTGAGAGTACGTGTTAGCTTAGCTTATTATTCTTCGACCCGACAACTCCACAACCTCATCCACGTTCCCAGGGGTATGTACCACCTACCTTATTATCGTAATACACCCACCCATTATTTCCTTCGGGCCCATCATAATCCACCTCCTCCTTCCCATCATCTGGCACACCGTCCACCTTCCACTTGCTCCCGGACACCCACCGCCAGTGCATGTGACTCCCTTCCTCTGTCTCGGGTAGCTCGAAAGAGTCGCGCGCAGGCACGGGGTTGTTGTGCTCGTCGGTCCAGGCGCTGCGCTCGTAGGCAAACAGACTAGTCGTCCACCCGAGGCCAACCCACCGACGCTGGTTTTCGTAGATGATGAACGTAAACTTGACGCCAGCGTCCTTGCCCACGCCAGCGTCGCCGGGGCTGCCGTGCTTGTGGCCGTGGTGGTGCGACTGTTGGCGCAACGCCTTGGTCAGTTCCGACTCTCGCCGCTTCGTCAACGTCGACCTGGAGAGGTTGTTGTTGTCGGCAGCTTCCGACGCCGACGACGCCGCGGGAGCGAAGGAGACGGGCGTGGGTCGCATGGGACACTCAAAGGTGAGGCCCGTCAAGAGCGCAGCTACTTTCCTGATCATGGAGCTCCTCCACAACACCTCGCGCGCAACGCGCATAAACTTTGCGTGCCAGCTGAGGACGAGAGTGCCGAACACCAGCACCACGCGCCTCGTCGTGATAATCCTGAGGGGAGGTAGGGTAAGGGCAACCCAAAACGGCGTGCAAAAGAGGATACGGATAAACATTGTCGTGAGAGCAGGTCGCGTTGTAGCCGACGTGGGAGTGCGCTGAGTGCTGAGGAAATCCGTCATCTCAATCATGGGCTCCAGAAGCATGTTGCACCGGCTCGTAAACTCCTTTAGAGTTTCCACAATCTCGTCCAACGTCTTCTGGTGCCGCGTGTTTGTCACCTCCGAATTGCCTCTCCGATGGCCGGGCTTCGCAGCTCCGTTTGCCGCAGGCGGCTTTCCGCCATTCTTCTGGAGTCTCCCCGCGGCGGCAGCAGCCGCGGCGCCCGATACGCCCCTCGCAGACGAGTCCTTCTGCGCGGGCTCGCTCCACCCGCTCGTGCTCAACGGGCTAAAGCGACGCGCGTACATGCCGAGAATCAAAGCGGCAACGACGACAATGGGACCGGCCATGCGGATGACGACGTCGCCGTACAGCACGACAGCCCAGAACACGAGGAGCATGACAAAACTCTCCCACGGATCCCCCGTGGTCCATGTCAACAGCCCGGCAAACTTATTCAGGGGCAATAGGAACGGATGCGAGTAGGCGAGGGCTCGGGTAATCTGAGGAGGTGTCGCGAGGAGTAGGGGGGATTTCTGGTGGACGAGGATGGTGGAGCGGCGCTTGGAGGAGGATTTCGCCGAAGGATTCGAGGAGAGCGTGACGGGAGAGAAGGCGGCGTAGGTGGGAGGAGGGTTGATGAGAGGCGAGGTGATGTCGTCGGGGGTGGCAGGGGCGAAGCCGCCGTCGGCGTCGGGCCCGCCGCGAGGACGTTTGGGGGATGTCATTTGAACCAGCCACGGGGGCTCCTATTTGGACGACATCTAAATTAGTAATGCTGGAAAATAATATAGAATAATCGAAGATAGGCGTATGATGGGGGAAAAGATGAAATTTGAAGAAGACTGAAGAAAAACAGGGAGCGTTGGCGAGATTAACATTAACATTGAGAGGAGAGAGCGAGAGTAGGTTTAGGCCACGACCATGGGGAGAGGCTGATTGGAGGTCGCTGCCAGTGCAGGGAAGGTGACCAGCTCGACAATGACGTCGCGATTGGCCATGGAAGGAGCACTTTGACCGCCGTCGGCGCAGACGCTTAAAACGCTGACTGAACACGAAATCGGGCAGCACCATTATCGACCAGGACCGGCAGCACACACAAAGTTTCGTCTCGGAGCATGATTTTTCGGGAAAGGGAAAAACTCAAAACAAAAAGGAAGAGGAACTTACAAAGGCGGCCATTTATCGACTTCGTTTTAATCTCGATCGTAAAATTATCCGACTTTCCTTTCTCCGCCGTTTCAGCTAGGCGCTGTTCCTTCGACGGGGGTGGCTGGTCACAGGTGCAGCAGCATGACAGCGCTGAGCACTTGAGGGCATAAAAACCGAGGGAGTGTGCAGTGCAGTGCAGCGGAGTGCACAGCACAAAAAGCTCAGAAGCTCGAGGCAGGCCGGGGTGGTTTGATTGAATCGCCTGGTGGATTGAATCGTGTAGGTGCGTGCAAGTCTGAGCTAACGAGGTGGGGTGAAAATGGTCTCAGGAAGGGGAGGAACAGGGAAAGGCTAAGAATCGACTCAGGACTTGGGAAGATAAGTCTGTCCGTTGCAAGGCAATAAGATAACAAATAGCAGGATTTTTGTCTCTTCGTCTAGGAGAGGATTTTCGAGATGGGATGGAGGGTTAGAAAAAGAGGTGGCCAGGTTTGTTGGCGGAAGAATGACTTGATGGTTTAAACTTAGCGGTACTACATGCATCCCTCACTTCGACTGGCCTGGCAATGACATGTGTAAATGCCACTGATCCTCAGGTCCTGATCCGCTCTCTCTCAACTCTGTCTCGCCGCTGGGCATTCTGGGCAGCCACTGCCTTGAACCTGAGCACGTGAGGTGCCAAGATTCCCCCCTCCTCACCTTCACCAGGAAGGCGCTACTTCCGTTCTTCGTTATTGCGGGGAAGCACTGACCTCAGGCACTCGTATTAGTGTCGTATCGTTGGCGTATCATTGGCGACTAGCGCAGGATCAGAGGCTTTTCACTGTCTTTGTGCTTCCAGTGTACCAAGTACCTGGGTCTAGACTTGGTTGCACTCCCGAGGTGCCCCAGACTAGTCTCTAGAACTGGGTACCGCCTACCTGCAGCCCTGCAACGGCACCTCGACTCTTGACAATCACATGCAAATGCCGAGTCGAAGCTAGGAATGGGAAGTGTCTAGTGTAATGACAGTCCCAGCCAGCCCAGTTTGTCTTAACTCCATTCCCACTGCCATCTCGTTGATCATTCATCGAGACTGAGACAATCAAATCACTACATTTCAGGAACATCCCCTTCAAGAAAGAACTTCGATGAATTATTAATTGTAATTACTCCGTACTCGTCGGCCCATGTTCAGCCTTTGCAGACGAGACGAGACGCTCCCCGACGACGGAAGGCAAGCCCAAATTCCTATTGTAAACTAGCTTAATACGCCCCGTATAATATGATCCCAAGAACACCAATTATGGTACCACAGCCCGCAAACCCACGCCACAAGTAAAGATCCTAATAATAAATAAAAGAGACTCCAATCTTACCGATGCTTCCCATTACATAGAACATGGTCATGAATTGTCCTTCCCCCCACCATTGTCAGACCTCTCCCTCTTCTCCTTCGCCCAAGTCCAAAATTCCCGAGCAAGCCGAGAACTTGTCTTTCCCTCCTCCTCGTCCGCAAAAAAGAGCACACACTCCTTCTTCTCTCCAGCCTCCTCGAGTACGAAAGTAAGCCTCACGTATCCCGTCTCGCGATCGCGGATTCGATGCTGTGAGAGGATATGTCTGGGGTTGATTTCAATTTCGGTACCGCCCTTGAGAGCCCCGCGTGCCGTTCCCGTCGGCTCGTCAATGCGGAGAACCAATTTATTGTTATCCGCCCCTTTGGACCATGTAACGGTCCCGTCGCTGTACCTCACTAAGGGAAACGTCCCCGGTTGTTGCTCCGACCCCAGCGTCGCAGAGCATTTTGCCACAGCTCGAATGGGAGGCCGCGATATAGCAGCAGCCGGCTCCATGGAGGAAGTATCTCTCACGGGCTGAGTGGCTGGGAGAGTCATTGGCGAGGCTCGTCTACTCGCGCTTCTGGCGCCTGATGTTGCCAGAGCCTCTTGCTTATCCGAGTCACATTCCCGTGCCCGGGGCTCGGTTGGTACGTCCGGCTTGGGACTATTCTCTCGCTCTATTAAATGGTTGCCGGGCCCTTCGTCAGTCTCCTCGACTGTCCCTTCACCTACCAGTTCGTCTCCATCCTCGTCGAGGTGCTTAGCAGGTCTGTCATCTGGCAACGAGGGCGTCTCTCTAATGACCCTACGCCTGCTAGGTCGCTGCCTACTATTGAACCTACTAGTCGGGGCATCTGGGTCGCTGGAGTTCCCATCGGCGTCGTCAACAGGGCCTACGGGAACTGTGTTCTCATCGGCATCACGAACCGGCCCTTCATGAACTGTTTGGTTCATTTCCCCCAGTTCCGGGCTGCCGCGAAGGTAGCTGCCATTTGCATCCTTCGCACCCTTCTCAACCCCATCATCATCCTCATCTTTCTCCCCTCCCTCTACCTCCTTCCCCATGGCCCAATCGGATGCTCTATCATCCTCCTCCCCATCCCACCCCGCATCCACGTTAACTATCCGTAAAGACCTCCGCACGGCCCTCTGATCCCGGCTACTGCCGCTTCTCGTCCGGATGTTCGGGGTAATACCCGGCGACGGAGGAGAACTGTCCGTCACGGCACAGGGGCGAGGGCCACTCTCTCTGAACTGCTGATACGAGGAGAAGCCCCGGCATCTGGCATAGGCTTTGAGAGCGAGCTCCACTTGCTCGGGCTCGATGACGAATCGAGAATCCGCGGATCTATATATAGGATTCTCGGGGTCGAAGTGAGCCAAGTAAGCTGCTTCTATCCAACCCCCCGTGTTTTGACTGTATTGTTTTCATGAAGTTAGCTCAAGATCCCGATCTTGCTCTGTAAAACGTACAACGCCTTTTTGGAGAGAGATACGGATAGAGAAAGCCAACTTACGGAGTATCGAAAAACATAATGGGAAACTCCCGCGTAGCCTCCTGCGACTCCCCGTCGCGGTACCCCTCAACCCATCCCAGAATACGGGGGACCTTCCAGTCAATTTTGTAGCAGGGCGGGATCCTGGTCTTGTTTCGGTCCAGGAGGCCGAAGCCGTTGAGCCCGCCCCCGGTTTCTGGAAGCCCAGAGTTGGGCGAGCCGTCCCATCCAAGCACGAAGACCAAGTAAAAAACCTGGTCGGGAGGCCAGAAAGCATAGTAGATCCCCCCGTCTTCGGGTCTCGTAATCGGGCTCTCGGGAAGAATATCGCTTCGTTTTATTGAGGAAGATGATTTCTTACCCCGAACAGTAACACGATTGTTGTTGCTGTTGCTGCCTTCGGGGGTAAGTTTCTCATTCTTCTCGTCAGACTGATCCCGTTGGCCAATCGAGTTCTTCATGGTTCCGGCCTTGGAGCTGGTCCCGCACTCAACTGTGTTAAGAGGTTTGTATCCCTCCTTAATGGCCTTGTCCATTGCGCGGTTGTTCAGCTCCGCCAGCTTCTCATTGCAACCGACGACTTCCCATCCAAGGTGCTCAATAGAATTGCCATAAGACTTGTACAGCCCATGCAAGCTGGATGCCAAATGTGACGCAGCGCTTCGTAAGACGCCCCTTTCACCTGCAAAATGGACTTTATGCTCGGATGTCTCGCACTTGACAATGTACCACTTCTTCCGTCGCCCTTTTGCCGGGAATTGGACTATCGCATGCTTATATTCTGCCTCGCCGTTCTGGTACACCTCGTCAAACGTGATTTTGCGGAGCTCCTTGGGTGGATTTCCAGTCGCCGTGTTGTATCGTCCTTCGGCGCCGACACTGCCATGTCTTGCCTTTTTTCGAACGGGGGCAACTTCTATTGTGGATTCGTCTTGTAGGGGTCGTTTCCCAGACTGACACTCCGAGTAGAAATAGATTAGCAACGGCCGTTTTGGCTTAATAATGATGATGACGATGATTGATACGCACCAAGCGCTGCTCGGGAGGCAATATGCCTGCCTCAACGAGGGACCAACCCCGGCTTAGACTCGGAGCTGCAGAGGGCACAGAAGAACCGTCAACAGAGTCATTCGAAGCGGGGCCATTGCTCGGTCGTTCCCTAAGGCAGTCGCTTTCTACACCACGGAGGCTGATGCCAACGGGGCTGACTTCACCATCCCCAAAGAGAACCATGCTATCCTCGGGCGTGTTCTTAAATCAAGTCGATGTTAGCAAGATCCTCCCATTTACGGAAAATTTCTAGAAGTGCCCGAAACAAGAGTTAATCGAAGAAAACCTACCAAACCATCCGGCGGACCATCTGCCAGCCCATCCCTAATCTTCTTCAACTCCTCATGTAGGTCGTTCCGGTGCGCATCAATCTTCTCCCACGAACGTCTCTTGACCCAGCGGTACTCCGAGTCCTGGGGCATGAGCTTCATCCTAAGCAGTTCCGGGTCCCACCTCGGGTTCTCGAGCGCCTTGGCAAGAATCCGCCTGGTCTCGCGCTTGATTTTTTGTAGTTCGCCATCTCGAAGCTCTTCCTCGAGCTTGATCTTGGCTTCGCACTGGCGGATGAGATTCCGGACTCGGGATCCCAGGTCGTCCTCTTGCCGGATAGGAGTATCCTCGCTCCCGGTCGGGTCCATGGTGCGGGCTGCTGCCTTACTTTAAGTATAGGAGGGTGGATGCTGCTGTACGGAACCGGATAGAGGGCAAGAGTTCAGAAGACAAAGAAAACAATAGATCGAGTAAAGACCTCGAAAGGAGCAGGAAAGGAACCAAGAGTGGAAGACCTTGACGAAGACAAAATGCTGAAGTCCGGGTATGCTGGGACTCCTGCAGGGCGATGAGAGCAGCAAACGGGGAACTGATGGATGTGTTGGAGAAAAAAAAAAAAAAAAAAAAGATTTTTTGAACTGAGCAGAAGAACCAGCAAGGACAACTTGAGAAGAGAAGATTCAGACTGCGAAGGAGATGGATAAGGCTCGAGAGAAACCCAAAGAAGAAAGCGAGGGTTTGTAGAATCTACTCTGTGAGAGTATTTCTTGAGAGGGAAGGTACTCCCTTCCCATCTCAGTCGAGGATGGGTCGAGGATAAGTCTAGGATGCACCTGCCGTGCAGAAAGCAGGCATAATACTTATTTTCCGTTTGCAGGAGCGACCGAGATACAGAAACACCAACGAATATTGCCATTATTCAAATGTGCATGAATCCGTACATGAGGAGTACATGTTCTCCTCTCGCATGCAATACTGCTAATAGCAATACTGCTAATAGCAACCAAAGAGAACTGCATCATGGCCTCGAAGAGAGGTTGTTACAAGAAAAGACATCCTGAGAAGGTATCGAATTGGCTTACATGAAGGAGCTTGAGATGACAGTCCTTGTTCTCTTGATTCCGTTTGTATATACTAACACCAGAGTCAATAAGAGAAGTGATGGTCTCAAAAAGGGAATTGTTTGCTCTTTTCCCTTCCCAAAGCCAATCCCACCACGAGAATGCAGGCCTGCAAAGACGCCTGGGCCGATGAGGGCAAAATGAAATGCATATCACGACTTCTTTAGTCTTCTATTCGCTGCTCATTCAAGATTCATCCACCTTGCAAAACGACTTGGTCCTCTGAATACATCTCAACTACTATTTCCAACAATTACACAGAATGGGAATGTAGGCAAGCAACTTTTCGACTCGGCGCACACTCTCATCGACTGGCATGGTCAAGTTCGCTTCCAAGGAGGTGTGGGCGCGTCAGCAAACAGCGGCTTCTCTGCAGCTGCTCTCGCCGGCATGCCGGAATAACGGCCAACATGCGCGCATGGGCATGGAACATCGGCCTACTTAGGTCGAAAGCAAACACTCAGAGAGAAATGAGCCTCGACACTCTCCCGTGGGGGCCGGACGAGTCCAAGTGTTGCAGTGTCATGCGTTTGTCCGTACAAACCCGTACGTGTTGATCCGTGTTTACTCTGAGACTTTCTTCGAACTCCATTAACCACATCACCAAGGAAGCTCACTCAAATATCAGAATAAGAAGTAATTCATTCATATGGCGATAAAACGTAACTGGATATATAGTAGCTAAAGGAGTCCTATAACCTCAAACGCCAACAGCTATGCCATCAAATGCACTCCCCCCTCGCGCTCTTCCCTCAGTACCGTTCCTTCATCTATTATCAAATAGGTCGGAAAGATAGGTTCGCAAGACGTGAAGGCCAAGGGGGAAAAAATGCCTCCCAAAACTCGAGAAAATAGAATCATCCTCCTCCTACACATTAGAAATGTGAAAGAGCTACGCCAAGCTCGAAAAGAACAAGGAAAAAAGAAAAAAAAAAAAAAAAAAAGAAAAAGAAGGCAACGAAAAAAGAGGCCATGGCCTGGAAGAATCGCCCGAGATCCATCCCACTCCTTCCCTCCCTTCTACCAAAAGCTACACCATCCAATATAATGCTGGCAGAGATTCTCCAGCTTCGTCGCCTCAATGATCAGCTTATTAACCTGACTAACCACATCTAGCTCCTCGGCGTTCTTAAAGTCCCGACCCGTAAGTTTCTGCTGCACACGGTCGAGCACCTCGAGAGCCCTAGCGTTCTGCACTTCGACGACGTCGGTGTGACCGTTGCTGTTGCCGTTGACCACTCCGTCTCGCGCGACAGATGAGTTGGTCCTAGCCCGGGATCGCGTGCTGGGGAGGCCGGTTGGCATTCCGTCCATCCCTGCCTGGGCGGCCATGAGATCTTGCGGGCGACCGTCGAGGACCGAAGCTCGTCGACCACGGCCGCCATGCGGGCCCGCGATCGCGGCTTCTCGTGCCGACTGGAAGGGTCCGGCGGGACTTTGTGTGTTGGTGAGACGCCAGGTTAGGAGGGGATCGTGGATGAACTGAACCAAAAAGTTAGTAATAAATATGGGACGAAAAGGGTAAGGGAAAGAAAAAAGAACGGATAAATATGGATAGATCACTCACAGCTTCAAGGACAGCCATCACACTCTCCTTATTCTCCCGTAAAACTCTCATGACATGTTCACACGTAATCCTGAAGCTACCCTCGATATTGCTAACTTCCATGGCGTATGTGAGCATACGCGTGAGTCGGAACGGCACTCGCTCGGGGTACTTCTCTCGCTTCATGGCAACCTCGAAACAATCGCCGAAATCAATGTGGATAATCTTGCCCGTGATACGGTCAAGCATGAGATTGGATGGGTGGCGATCGCCGAGACCCAGGATGTAGCCCACCATCGACATGACGCCGAGCGACCGCGTGTAGTTGGTACGCCTCTCGAGCCAGGCTTCCGAGCTCTTGCTCTTGAGCCAGAGGACGCGGTACAAATCCTGACCCGTGGTGTTGTCCAGCGCATAACCAAACACCTCCACCTTTTGCATGAGCGTCAAGTTATCATAGTCAGGCGCCATCTGCAGCATGATGCGGTGCTCAATGTTGAGGAGAATCTTGCGACTTTCGCGGTATTCGCGAATAAGCACGTGAAGCGTGTCGCTGTTGGGAACCCAGCCGAGAAGACCTGAGTTTTGCGACAGGGGGATGGCAGGGTAGCGCTGGATGTTGAGGTGGCGCTTGTAGCACTCCGAATCATTGGCGAGGAGCGTGTTGCACAGGCCGAATAACTGCATAACTCTTTCGTCTTGGCGGATATCCTCGTGGCCTTTGAGTAGGAACGCGTACGAGATGCCGTCGCTGCCGCTAATGTTGAGCTTACGCGGCCGCTGCTTCGAGTTGATGACCGTGAATGTCGAGTCGAACCCTTGGATCCTGACGACCGGCGCACCGCTGCGGTACGTTCCGGGGACGGCAAGGTCGAGGTCCTTGGCTGCGAGGAGTTTGGGCGAACAGTAGGTGAGCTCCAGAGACGTCACCTGCGGAAGCTGTCTGGAAATCCTCCTGAACACTTGATAATAGAGGTCCCAGGCTTGGTTGAGGTCGTTGACATCCTGCGTCGTCTGGTACTGGCGGCACCACTCCCGCGCCTCCGTCAAGTCGCGACCAAAGGCCTGGACAAACGATATCTCTCGCAGTGTCTCTGGTCCTCGCTCTAGGAGATCGTGGAGGGGGCCGAGAACGGAAAACATGCCGTCAATGTTGTGATCGCCAAAGTAGAGGCGGGATGCCTCTTCCAGACCCTCATGCCAAAGTTCGTGCCAGAGTACCGCGACCCGAATAAGCTCTTGGCTGACAATTTCAGCTTGTGCGACGAGGTTGGCGCTGTGTTGACGCATGCTATCCATGATTTGAGCGGCCGACTTAGACCGCATCGAGCTCTGGGAAGATTTCATCGCCACAGTAAGCGGGTACACCAAGGCCTGGGGGTGCGCTCGACCGACATCAGCCAGGAGATTGTGAACCGATTGCTGCACGCGCCTGTTGGGCTGGTTGATGCGGGCAATGAGCTGAGGAATTACCTCGAGCCAGGTGTCGACGCTAATGTTGGCGAAACCTTCGGTAACGGCCGAGTTGACCTCAACGCTGCCACCGTGAGCGAACCAAAGCGTCAGAAGACGCAGTGTGTCTTGCAGCGAGCTCCCTGCAGACAGGGCAATAGACTTGAAGAATCCGCGGACGGCGGGAACGACATGGTCCAGAATAATGGCCGGGTCAATGCCAACGTGCTCTCTGTCGGCACGAGAGGTGATCTGGTTGACGATTTCAAAGTTGGCGAGCGCCCACCCGTGCCATGCCTTGTACCAACGAGGGTTGTACTTTGTAGCCGCCGAGTATGCTGACAGAACCTCCCGAACCTGCTCCTGGTGCCAGGTATCGCGGTGAAGCGCCCGTATCCACTCACCCTGTCGGAGGTAGCATTTCGCCAACAGCACCGTCTGGTCCTGAAGCGCCTTGTGAGTTTGAGGGCTCAGCACCGAAGGGTCAAGAGGATGTTGGAAATTGAAATCGCTCGAGATCTCGAACCCATTGGGCGCCTGAGCGCTCAACTGGTCCTTGATGTGCTCCAATCGAGCCGCCGTCTCGTGCGTAAACTTTCGAAGGGAGTATAGAGCCCTGGACGGTAGGTCGTTGTTCTTGATACCGCCAGACTGCACACCGAGATCCCATTGATACTTCAAGATACCGTAGATGACCTGAGCGGGAATGTTCCTATTGTGCACAGGTTGCTGTCGGTCTCCCCAGTAAGGAAGGACCGACTCCAGGGACCCCTCGATGCCGACAAGCTGCTTGAGTGACTTGTCGGCCAAGCCCATCCGGCCAGACTTGCGGCACAGGTTCGCAAACTTGATCCACATGTGCATATTCTCGGCGGGTGAGATGACCAGGGCCCGCAACCTAAGCATTCGGTGCCAGACTTCGACGTTGCGCTGGCAGCCCTTGAGTCGTGCTTCCCACGTACGCCGCATGGTCGCTTGCTTGCGTTCATCGCATTGTTTGTAGACAATAAGCTCCTCGAGCTCGGCAAGCATCTGCACGCGCACGATAACCTGGTAAGCCCGGTTGTACGATTCGCTAACGAGCGCGCTGAGCTCAGTATCCAGCCCTTCCCGCGTGTGCTGGACGCAGTTGAGGGCCTCGCGGAACTGATTGCGGTGCAGAGCGAGGATGGCGCAAAAGAATGAGCGATCTGTCGACGAGCGTCGCATGGATTGCAAGTAATTGTCCATCGAGTCCCACTTGCCCAGACCCCATGCAGCGGCCGTAGCAAGCGGGGCGATAAGGCGTTGTAGGTCAGGAGTCGCTGACTGCCATTTTTCGTTCGCGAGAGTTGCGAGGGTATCCCATTCACCGAGGGCGTGTAGACACCTCATCTTGCCCATAATAACCTCGATGGGGACGGCCTCGTTGTTATTTTCGGCATCTTCCAATCTCTTATCATAGAAGGCGAGGGCCTCCTCCCATCTCTCGAGCTTCTCGAACCAGGTCTCCCTCAGAGTGATTCCGTCCTTGTACAGCTGTGCGCGTCGAAGGATACCGATGGCAGCGTCGGACTGTTGCAGCTGATTGTTGATAACGATAAGAGCCTCAACGGCGCCACTGCTCTGGTCTTGAAGGAACTCGAGTTCCTTGTAGTGAAGGGCCTTGGCGTATGCGTGGCAGCGGGCGGCCTCCCGACCGAGGACGCGGATATCAATAGGGAGGGCCTTGTCGTCATGTTCCATAAACTCGGCGAGGTTGAGCAGAAGTGCAAGCAGATCAGGAGGCACATTTTCAGACTTGATAGCACTCTCAATATTTTGAATCAGCTCGTCCTAGAGAACATAAGAAAAGTTAGTTCCGCCAATAAATCGTTTGCTCAAGACCTCCTGTGGGTAAAACATACCTGAAACTGCTCATAAAGTTCCCCCCAACATGACACAAACGCCGAGTTAAATAGCTCCCGGGCAAGAGGCAGGTACACGCTGGCCAAGCTCGCGCAAGCCCTGAGGGCATGGTTCGGCGACTCGCTCAAGAGCGTAGTGCTGAATCGCCGGAGCCATTCCTGCCAATCCTCTTTCGTCGATTTGCCCTTTGTATCCCATGCGGCCTTGAGGTGCACGGGGTTCATCTCAAGTTTCTTAGACGCCAGATCACCAAACAGAGGCTCGTCCACCTGGTCCGCAGGCCTTTCGGAGGTCAAATGCTGAGGCAGAGGCTCTCCTTTTTGGAGCTTGCTCACGAGGAGCTCGTAATTCTGATGCTGAATTTGATTGCTTGCCAGAATTTTGTTAACGGAACTCATGAAGGGAATGTATTCCCTGCCGAGTCCTTGGATAAGGGCGCAAAGTGTGTCGAGAGCCGCAATCCGCAGGGAGGATTCGCCAAGGGTCAAGACGCGGGTAAGAGGGTGGATGATTCTAGACGCAAAGTCGTTGAGATTGACCTCTCGCGAAAGCTTTCCGATCGTCTCAATCGCAAGTTTCCGAATGTAGATCGGCTGACCCTGCTTTTCAAAGGTACGCACGATTACAGGGATGATCAAGTGCATGTACTCCTCACTGCTAGATCCAAAGACCAGGAACGCATGAAGGACTCGCTCAGAAGGGATTCGTTTGGTCGAAGCATCCCGCTCTAGGGCGCCGAGCATCAGGGGCAACAGACCAGCAAGGTATATCTTGAACTCGCCTTCCAAGGACCTCGAGATGGCTTCGATTAGCTGCAAGATCGTTGTCTGAAGCGAGGACGACGTGTTCCAGTACTCCTCGAGAATCTCAATGATATCAGGCAGGTAGTTTCGAATGTGCTGTCGCACAATGCTCACAAGCGTCGCGAGCTGGTTGAAGTAGGACTCAAGCCGCTGGGCGGTGGATGACCGAATAACGTGGAGGAATGCGGGGATAATCCGATCGAGGAATTGAACACATTCGAGTCCTAAGGTGCGGAAAATATTCATAATCGCCTCAATCACAGCGGCGTGGTGCTGGACCAAGGAAGGGTCATTCAGAATCTGCAGGAGAGCGTTAATCACAACAGTCGAGTAGTATTCCTTGTTCGAAGGCATCAACCCCGTCATCATCAGGGAGATGTCGGTCATTTGGGTGGCCTCGACTCGTCGTTGCAATTCCGGAGTGCGCTCCTCAACCTGCTAAGATGATAGAGATTTGTTAGTCCGACAACGACAAAGGTTTCTTGGGGTTCGGCCATCCACCCCATCGTAAATGGGCGGTAGGGGGATGCTGTGCTTGGGATATCTAATTGATGCGAATGTGCAAGGGTCTGACAGCTCGTCATGTCCCTCTTCATCATCTGAGACTTCAGACAGAGATTGTTGGATGATGTTGATATCCGCGTATGTAGTCGCGAAGGTCGGCTGTCGGACAAGGCTATGGTAGTCGGAATTTACCTGGTGCTTGTACGGATCCAGAGCGCCCAGAATACCCATCAACTTGATCGTTTCCTGCCTCAAAAGTCCGTGATGGCCTTCGGATCGAATGATTCCTTGCAGCAACTCGAGCAGTTCGGGGTACTCGAGGTAAGGCTGAATGACATATCCCGAGTTGCTTGCCAGTTGACCAAGCGCATGGAGGGCGGCTTCTCGCTTCGCGTTCGAGCTTTGGTCCTGGAGCGCACTAATGATGAGCGGCATAAGTTGATCCTTGTACGGCAAAAGGTCCTCGCCGCCGACAGTTGCCAGCTCGCCAATCGCGTTGAGGATGGTCGCGGCCACGGACGCCGTTGCGTCGCTCGCCTTGGGTAGCAGGACGGCGATCATGGGTTGGACGTACGGCCGAATCAGGCCCTGGGCGTTCTGAATTAGCAGACTTAGCAGCCTCGCGCTCTCTTCCTTGTTCCTGGCCACATCCGAGAACTCCAGCTCCGTAAGCATCTGGAGCAGAGACTTGCGTAGCGAGGGAACGATGTAAGCGGGGTTGTACTTGGCCAGGCGTCCAATGATTGAAATAGCTACTTCGCGAATCGCAAACACCTCGTCGTTCAACGCGAGGAGAAGGATCCTAATGTTCTCAGCCTTGGCGAGGTGCCTATCGAATCGTTCGTCGAGGGCAGCGAGCACCGTCCGCCGAATGGTTGGTTCAGGATCTGAGATTCCCACAGTAAGTAGTTTACCAATCACCTCACCTACAACCTGCAAGGCATGCTGGCTGGTCTGGCTGACAATGATGTCCTCCACGTAAAGCTGACAGCAGGTAAGGGCGGCTGCTTCTCGGATTTCGGGATCATCATCGTCGACGTACTTTATGGCGACGTCGCGTACGAACTCGTTCAGGACGTGGCCTTGAAGGTGTGTTAGTTTCCCTCTTCCGTTGGGTTCGTTAGGAAGCGGCGAGCTTGTCAGATACGACAGGCCAAGTGAGGTGAAGCTGATATCAGAAAGCTGGGGTACAGGTGCAGTGGGGGTCAAAGCCCGGATTGGAGGGCTGTCCACCTAGGACTTTGTAGGACCCGATCCTTGGCATGATTGACGAAAATAGGAGGTCAGGCGGGAACCAGGACTCTGGAGCCGACGATGCGCAGGGTTATCAGACGCGCTCAGGCCAAAAGTCTTCTTCACTGAAGAGAAGGCCGAATTGTTACGAGCCCGTCCGCCTTGGCCATACTTATGGCTCTGACTGTCGGGAGGTGGTTGCCCTGGGGTAAGCTCAAACCGCCGTGGCGGAGGTAGATTCAACTGATATCGAGAAGGGAAAAGCACTTCAGTACCTGAAAAGTCGAAGCTGCCCAGAGTGTTGAGGGCTAATTTGATCTCAGCCTTCCTATGCTCGTAGGCTTGGGGGTCCTTGGAGTCTTTAGGGACGACTGGTAAAGAGTTGAGCGTGTTCGGCTGGGGTGCGCCGAGGGGTTTGAATGGCTCGCCGCAGAGCACAATGCTCAGCATATCGAGGAGCCTCTCTTGGATAGTCGCTTTTACGGGAGGAATATAGAAGGCAATATCGACGAGCGCTTGCGTGAGCTTGGGTGTAAGCTCGCAGGCAAAGATTGGATCGAGCAACGCCTCCATGTACTTGCTCAGGGTTTGGCCCACAGCCACTGCTAACCGACTGATGCAGTCAAAGACCGGGTCGACAGATCCCCTCTTTCGAGAAGAGACACTGAGCCCCTCGCATACGTAAATCAGGACACCGTCGAGGTACGGCGCAATCGCACTCTTGACCGAATTCGCAATGTTTCCGATAGCAAGGAAGGCATCGTTGCGATCCTTGTCTCGCTTCAGCATGCCAGTCAAGTAGAGCATAAACTGGTGGAGGTATCGGCCCGCAAATGCAGCAGGAGCATAGCTCGCAAGGTCAGGAATAAGAAGGACGATGGTTTTTCGTATCGTGGGATCCCGATGGTCCTTGTGTTTGAAGACAATATCGCAGGCATCGTCGTACCGATCTTGCATGTACATTCCACCCTGTTCCAGGAGCTCTTTCAGCACGAGAAGCGAGCCGTGGATAGACTCGACAGAGTTGACCTTGAGGCCCTGATTCATTTCAGTGTACATCTTGTTCATCCAGGTCTGCTTGAGCTCCTGATCTCGCTCCCTAATAATCCTGAAGCAGGCGCTAACCGTCTCGGCAGCAGTAGTGCGGATGAGCTGGCGCTGGTCGCGGAGACCGACCCAGATGAGGTCAAAGATGAGGCCCACGTAGTTGTACATTAGGGTCGGGGCATTCCTAGCCAACTCTCGGAGCTCGAGGACGGCACTATATCGTCGTTCTTCGATCCGCTCGGACTGCAGCCATTCGAGGGCCGTTTTTACCTCGGCCTCGACTAGTTCTGAGGTCAGGGTACCGCCGGGTCGGCACAGTTTGCCGAGAGCCATAGCAGCCGCCTGCATGGGGTTGATGTCCTTGCCCCGGAGGATGGTCTTCAGGTTCTGCGTGAATCTCGTATATTTCAGCGCAACGTCAACACCTTCGAAGTCTATGAGGGCGTCAAGCGCATAAATGCCGCCGAGTCGTTCGGAGGAATCGCTCCCATGGGTGATGAGCTGTGTGATTCTGTTGTTGACGGCTGTGTAGAAGGCATGGAAGTGCTCGGGGGAGAGGTCTGGGGGAAGAGTACGTTAGCAGCCGGGAGGGATAATGCGCGAGAGAGGGCGACAGGGCAGAGTCGAATGGGGGTAAAGAACAAACCTCGGTGGCAGACGATTACAAGTTCCCGCAGCTGCGCTGCGGCCCGTCTGCGGACATCATCAGAAGTTCTAGAGCACAGAGTTAGTCGACGGGAAAGCGGGAAGGCCTGGCCAAGTTCGAGGAGCAGACGGAATTACCTGGACCGAAGCTCCTTCGCAATGACGTCCAGCCGCTCCAGCGCAACCACCTGTTGCTGCGTGAGCTGTTGCTGCGGCATGGCTCCTCAGCTACTCATCAACAGCAAGCTAGAAGAAAAAGGAAGACATGGACTTGTAGCACTATGGAGGGAGGTGCTTTTCAATGACGCTGTCGATTGAGTTTGTAGGATTTAGAGATGGTTTGATGTTTGAAAGGAGGACTTCGATGTGAGGTGGGGAGGATGAAATTAGACAAGTCGCGATGGCTTCGGCAGCGGTTTGGTCGTAAAGAAGAAGGGCGGATCGAGAGAAGGTTGGCTCGTGAAGATAACTCTGTCTTGTGATTCCTCAACTGCACAGGGAGTGCAGCCAAGAGACGAAGAAGGCTCAAGAAGTCATTAGAGAAAAAGAAGTGGTGTGTCGGCGACAATGGCAGGACGATGAACAAGAGAGAGCATCAAGCCTGGCTCGGGTCGGGGTTTCAAGGAAACGATGAAATGAATTTAGGAATCAAGCGCGGGACCAACTGGAGTCTGGAGCTGCTGGAGCTTGACGGCTGGCGTCGCCAGTCGGGAACCTGGATCCAGTGGTACGAAATACTTGATACAAAGTATATGGGCCCCGGATGGGCGTTCCTCTGGGCTCACGTATGTATAATCACGTGAATTGGGCCAGTTACATGTCCCTGTGTAAAGCGGAACTTTCACCCAACATGCTGACATAAGCTATGCTGAAGCAGCCAAGAATATTTACATGTGTGGGACGAACATGGGTGGTCTCGTATCTTATCTTGAATCCTGCATCTCCGCCACCCTCAACGGACTTGTCAATTCTCTTTTCGCGACATCAACCACTTCCCTTTAGCTACTTTCTAAGGTCAACGGAAGTCCATATATTAATCGCAGCTCGCTGCTTTACCACTAATCCTATCTATCTCACCTCCACAAGCGCGATCCTCCACAAGCGCGATCCTCCACCATCATGGGTAACGACGGTGGCTCAATCCCCACCCGCCGCGAACTCGTCAAATCCGCCACCCGCCAACCCACCGTCTCCGAGCTCAAAGCCACAGCCCTCGAATCCCTCACCCACGCCTGGACCCACTGCCCGCTAACCGGCGACGCCCTCGACCTCGAAAACGCCGTGTCCGACTGGCGCGGTCGCCTCTACAACTACGAATCCGTCCTCAAAGCCCTCATCCCCTCCGACTCCGACTCCTCGAACGATAATAAAAAGGAAGCCGAAATCGGCGCCGGCGATATCTCCTTCGCGTCGACGGGTATCAAGTCGCTGCGCGACATCGTGCGGATAAAATTTAAGCGCTATGTACCCCCCGAGGGGAAGAAGGCGAGGTGGGCGTGTCCGATTTCGCTCAAGGAGTTCGGCGCCGCGAATAGGGCTGTTTATTTAGTGCCGTGCGGGCATGCTTTTTCGGAGGTCGCGATTCGGGAGATTCCTGGGGAGAGGACATGTCCGGTTTGTAGCGAGGCTTTCGAGGAGGATAACGTGATTCCTATTTTGCCGACGACGGAGGTGGATACGACGAGGCTGCTGGTAAGGATTGAGAGGTTGCAGGACGAGGGATTGGCGCATAGCTTGAAGAAGGATAAGAAGGCTAGCAAGAAGAAGAGGAAGAGGGGTGAGAGTGAAAAGGTGAACGGGGCAGAGAGTAACGGCGGTGAGCACAACGGCGAGAGGTCACGTAAAGCTGCCAAGAAAGACGACAGGCTCAGTGGCATCAACAATGCCATGGCATCGTCGCTGACGGCCAAGGTGTTGGCTGAACAGGATGAGCTGAGCAGGCGGCGGAAGTTGGCAGCAGTACTTGGTAAATAAGATGGCAGGGCAATCTCTTTTTTGGAGTTTAGACATACAAGGTTCTTTTGCGAAAATTACGACTCGGATAGATGATACCCAATGTATAGTAAATGTGTACATTCCCCGTCTAAACGCTCTTCTCGCATATATGCAAGCAAAGGTGAGAATGAATTTTTTGCGTTCAATTGGTAGAAAAACAAAACTCCCACGCCATGCCACCATCTATCTACAGCTCATCCTTCCCCTTCTTAGCGGAGGGAGCAGCAGCCGGACCCTGAGGTTCGCAAGCAGCTGGCGTGCCGACCTCCATCTTATACACGCACTTCTCCGACTCGGACACGCGCCACAGCTCCTCCTTCTCAGCACAAGCGAGCCACACGTCCGTCCGCCTCCTAGGGCCGTTCCAGCAGCTCTGCCCGTTCTCGTACCTCAGGACCATGCGCTCGCCAGTGCCCAAGCCCTTACCGTCGAGGCGTTCCTCCTCGTCGGACATTTCGCGGCCGATTCGGGCAAAGTCGCCCATGTTTGTGTTTCCATGGCCCTTCTTGCTCTTCTGCATCGTCTTTTGGAACCAGCAGAGCTCATACGTGTACTCGCCGGCGTCGGTGCTGACACACTTGCCCTTGAGGGCCCTGAAGACGTCGTCGGGACCGTAGTCCTTTTCGAGATCGTCCTCTTCATTCTTGAGAGCCGAGGTCTTGGAAGTAATTTCACGATCGACGGCGCTGAGAGCATCGCGCGCGGCTTTGACTGCGGGGGATTCCGTGGTCGTGGTGCCCGAGTCGGCCAATATGCCGTTAGATACGAGCCACTGGCGCAAGGCTGCCATCTGCTTGTAGAACAAGTCGAGGATGAACCTAGGCGCATAGGCCTCAAGCTTGTAGACTAGAAATAGATAGTTAGCACTTGGCGGTGAGAGGAAGGAGAGGATGAATAGCAGAAGGAGACATACTGATATCCGTATCAGCAACATCATCATCCGAAGGCTCAAAGTCCTTCCAGTTAATACCGTTCATCTCTCCATCTTCGATGAGCACATCCCTAACTTCGGCATCGCTAATGATCTCGCTATGTTCATTGGCAATCCTGGCGGCATAATCCTCCCAGGACTTAACAGCCTGCTTGACACCTTCATCGTTGAAATTGGGATTATACTCCTCCTTGAAGCGCTTCAGGATACCCTCAAGATCGGCGACCTTGGTCCGCAGCTCATTACGCTGCTCAACCACCAGCTCGAGGGTGTCGCGAAGCTCCTCAACTCGCATCTTGGACTGCTCGAGAAGCTCGGCGAGCTTGCCGCCACCAGCACCAGCCTTGACGACCTTGCGACGTTCCACGCGCTCAGTTTCGTCGTACTTCTTTTGCAGCTCGATCCTCTTGAGCTCCAGATGGGCAATCTCCCCCTTAAGGTTGACAATCGTAGTTTCCGCGTTCCTCTTTGCCTGCTTCGCCTGGCGAATGAGCTCGGCGCGGGCAGCACCAGCCTGTTCCAGGGACTTACGCCTCTCTTCCTCAATGCGGCGGTACTCCTTGCCAATCTCGGCGCACTTGTTCGGGCACTTGACGCCTCCTACGCCAGAGTACTCCTCGCTACCGTCGCAGCAGAGTTCGTAATCGCAGGCTCCATCGTTCACGTAAGCGAAGGGTACGTATCCGCCAATATGGCCCTTGTTAACGCACCAGAAGCCGGGAAGCGCATTGGTGGTGTTAGTCGAGCCGGTCGGAGAGCCGGGAAGGGGCTGCGGCGGAGAGAGCGGATCTAGGTGGGCGCAGGCAGAGGTGCCAGGTTCGTCGGAGCCGTCGGGGCAGTCGCACGAGTTGTCGTTGACTTGCTTGACATCGAGTTTGATGGAAGGCTGGGTGATGCACGCAAAGCTGTCCTTTGATTCGTAAAACTTGGCGACTGAAATTCCCCTTCTGGTTAGTTGACGTAACGATTGAGTAGAATTTTAGTAGTTAAAATTCAAGAGGATGTCAAAAGAGATTGTAGAGAGTAACCGAGTGGGAAATAGGATCAAGACATTGTGACGGATACTTGACGTGGAAAGGGGAAGCTTACAATCTGGGCTTACGCCCCGAGGCAAGCTCCCAGAGGCGGCCCCGAACGAGGCAAGAGTGCCGACGACCACAGGAACAACCAATTGCTGCATGATAGGTTCAGATAAAACTAATATTCATCGGGAAGAGAAAGAAATAGCCTGTCCAGGCAGGTGCTGAAGAGAAAATGAGCGTTCCGTCAAAACGTCAATGTCGGACCAGGGGAGGTGTCGCAAAGCTGCAGGAATAGCGTCGTGTCGTCCCTGGAATAGTGTCAACTTGTACTTTGTAGACTGCACCTTTCACAATAGAAACGTGGACCTTACGGGTAAATATCGGCACTATACAACAATCGATAGATTCGTACTTCGTAGGGAAAGTTTGATGGGGGCCTGCTTACATCAGACTAGAACCCTAAGCCGACGTCGATCTACTCTAGCATCGGGATCTTGAAACTATGAGAACATAGAAGACTGGAATATGGGCTATGAGAAATGGAAATTTGGTTTTTTTTTTCTTGCCTTCCATTTTTCCAGACGTTATTTCCGATTAGTTGGCGCTGGGATAGGAATCGTCATGGCATGACTGATACTGCGGAGCCTGTCTGTCGTGGGACGGGACCTCGCCAACCCCCGAGTTGAAGTCGTTGATGGGTATAAGCGCTGCAGGGAACGGGCACACGTTGTCCGCCGAGACGGGAGGCTTATTTCCCTCTTCCCTCCCTCCTCCTTCCTTTTTTTCCTTCCTCTTCCAAGTTTAGCCAGCTTTTGCAGTTTACTCGGTTCAGTCGTTCGTTCAATTGACGATATGGTGTTGAATGGAGGCCATCTTCATTCTCAGGACATAGGATTCCAGTTGTTGACTCCTTCACGTAAAGTGCATAACCTACACAAATGCTGTGACACTGTGCTTACTTCGGCCTCGTTTTCCGTGAGGGGCTTCTATTGTGCGCCCGCTCCCGTATTCCATTGATCAACGGGATTCATGCCAGCATCTCAGCGGTTTCTGGCAGGAGTTATTTCGGACCATTGGCCACCATTTGTTCCCATTTCTATCGCGATATTTCAGTCAGGGATGCCCTGGCCGTCTCATGATCTTTGAGAGTCTGCGCTTCCGCTAGCAATATCAACGACTCCGTTCTCGCTATTCTCAAATGTTGCCGGGAAGTGGCGTTTGTACAAGACGAGCACCCCCACGGCAGACTTACTCCAAAGCAGTCTCAATTGACCGTACGTTTCCGGATTTCTTGTTATTGAAGTCCTGCCGCAGCCATTTTCGCCGGACAGTGGCAGATGTGTGATTTTCGGTAGACTTCCAAAAACGGTTACTTTTTTTTTTGCCAGCGCAAGTCGAGCATTTCTTGCCGACTTTCTAGTTACTTTAGAGTTTTCGTTTCCTGCCACAACAGGCGATCCCCGTGTCAACTTTCCCGTTCAATTCCAATGCTACCAATCCAGCTACCAGGAGAGCAGCATTGTAGTACGAAGAGAGGTAGCTGGGCATTCACTCGCGCAGGAAGCGCGTGTCACAGCTTCAGCTACACCCTCGCGGTGAATGCTGTGTGACAAGTATCCGAATAAGAGGAGAAGACGGAAGACTCCCCCTCCCTGTTCTATCTTCCGCATCGGCGATTTCAAAGTACCCCAAGCTGTCCTTTCCAGAACATCAACGCAGCTTCAAGTTTTCCTTACTGTCATTTGCGACACCGAAATCACCTCTAGGCACTGCAAAATGACACCCCGGTGCTTTTCGCCCGCTCTTGGTGGCAGCTCCCTCTTAGCGATCTTAATTAGGTATCTCATATGGTCTTTGAAAAATGCGAAGCGATGATTTTCGAAGGTAGGAGCCGGTTTTCCACAGGCCCAGATGTTAGGAGGATTGACATACGGACGAAAATTAGTCTTATGAGATGTGCTACTGTTGCATAATGGTTTTTAGTGGGCTTGGTGCAATTAGAGATGACAGGCCGCCAAACTAGGCCGTTGGCGGGATTGGACGTCCACGAAACTATTCAAAGTATCGAGCGCCTTTCACGTCTTGAGATAGGTGTTTTGAGAGGGTCCCCTTCAACCAAATGGACTGACTGCGGCTATTTACAACGATTAAAACCCACCACCGCACACTCAAGCAGTCCCTTTGGTAGAGGACTTGGAGCAGAACAATAGAGAAAGAGACGGCCGGTAGCACCTCATAACAACAATAATGAAATTGCTTCATGTGGAGCCTAGGCTATTTACGACCGTAGGCCCCTTTCCAAGCTCAGCAGCTCGGGAATGCTTCATGCCCAAAGCAATCACACTATTCTGGAGCGAGTCTAACTTAAAATCGTCAGTCACCGAGAAGGGTATACATAAGTAACGATATCTAGATGCTCACCAATATCCCGTGGGAGTTGGATAACTCCCTTAGAGTCGAGGGCGACGAGTGAATCCTTCGCCCATGTCCCACAGTTGAACTCTTCCCCAGTCCTCTGGGAAGGTTTCCCATCAGCTGGGATGCTCTCCATGACGGACTCGGCATCGTGTACACTGGTCACGGAGCCTATCCGAACCAGGCAGACCAAAGTGGCCGAGTTGTCCACCTTTGCAATCTTCTTCTCATACTGCCAACTGGGGTTATCTTTCGCATGATGGAGAGTCCCTCTGGACTGAGAGTCCGTGACGAGTAATCCCCAATGCTGTGCTCTGTTAGTCAAGGAAGGGTATGTGGAACGAAACACGAGTAACCTTACAAACTCCCCTTGTATGCTGCGAGCATAGAGCGAGACGTACAGAGACAACTTCTGGATATTATCTCCAGGACCAGTCGCCATTTTACCAGAACACGTATTAAATGAAATAAAAGAAAGGTGAAGTTATCAGAGGATACCTGTCTTGACTTGGCCGTCGAATGATATAGTCTTGAGAACTGTCCACTTTCTGAAGGCGTGGGACCCTCACTTATACTTACATCTATCCATTGCAGTTTAAGTGACACCTAATCTCCCACAACCGACCTTAATCGGGTGGGTGAAGTTTATGCTTCCGGATTCTCTTGGAATTGCAGGCACCTCTTGGTGTTAGAGCTCTTTTCCGAGGGGAGTGACAACGGCACAACTTCTGCAGACATCCCTATTTCTATCAAGTATCCCTGCGCCTTCCCGATACGAACGGCTACCACCAGGCCGCCAGCATTTTCAGCACTTAGGGAAGTTCCTTTTTGTTTTCCAGCTTATTGGCTGATGGAAGAGGAGCTCGCCATCGGCTTCAGGGTGCCGCTCTCTGTCTCTTTTTTTTTTTTTTTTTTTTTTTTTTTTTTTTGTCTTTCCGAAACAGAGATTTCCGTACGGGCGTTCGTAGAGGATCGCAGTCTCTATCGTTATGACGTATTATTAGCCCCCCGCCGTGTTGCCTATTCGTCATCTGTTTCCTGTTCAATCGTAGATCTTTGCCCCCAGTTCTGGCGGATGGGGGCCCGGGAGAGGCTCGGGCCCAGTTTAACTCTTCTCGCACCTAATCCTTCGCCCCGGGCTTCGGGAAGTCTTTTCGCTGATGTTGCTCTTGTAGATTCTGCCTCGGGTTAGTGTTCTATTAGTTATTATTCTCAGTTCGATCATGTGTTTCATGTAGGTTCTTGTCGCTCTGATGCCCTATATCATGTCCCGTGAGTTCTATGAGAATCTTAAGCAAGCCTTCCACAGGGACTAAGCTGAGTAGTGGTAGATAGTCGATTACCTATACCTGTCCGTCCCTCTTATTCCCGGGCTATGGGCCATGCCTCTGTCTACTTTTATTTATTTGTTGTGTACCTCGGTGCCGAGAACCTCAGGGAGACCGCATTTTAATGTTGTGTTACTAGGCGGACATTGTTTCTCTTATAGACCTTTCAGGAAATACACAATGCTACAATCTGCTCTTCGCAGCCCATTAATCTAGGAATACTAGGCTGAGAACTTGCATAACCTCTGAGAATCTACGTTCCGGCTGGCCATGTAGACTCGTCTATTTTAATGGGCCTGATTCCCTGAACTCGGATTGCTACCTTGGCTGGTTGCTGCTAGCCTTATCTACCCATTCGTGCGTCCCCTGTCGATATCAAAGTTCCTACTCTCGCCTAGCATGTCCCTTCGGAACAACTCTCGTTATCTAACCTTGTCCAGCTTGTCCGAGATCCTTGCATCATGTGTCTGACCGTGATATCCTCTATACAGAGCAAGCCTATCGCTCGAGGGCAGGCCCTATCAGGCAACTATTTCCGACCTGAGCCACTTCACCCTCTGAGCATTGCCCAAGATTTTGGATTGAGTCTCATCAATGCGGATAATCGCAGCACGCCGGGCCGAATAAATCTAGGAAGGGGTTATCCTTAGGTACCAAACCGAGTGCGAAGGCATGGGCAACAGATACTTCGCAAGCAGTGAGGATAGTGCATTGCGAAATTGGCGATATTTACAAAAGGTACTTGAAATTGAACTGGTGCCAGAGGTACTTTTCGGGTCGGAAAATACAGTTCAAAAAGTCGATTGAGGTGCCGGTACAAGCTAAGCCAAGTACAAAAGGTACATTCGGGAAACATTTTCGACTATACTTCGTATATATCTGTGATGGGTATGGTAAGAATGCCAAAACAGGGCTTAGAAATGTTGTGTAACCATCTCTGTCACAGACAATGATAATATTGATGTGAAAGGAGAAAGATTGCTGCCGGATACGATGCCAGAACTGATCATTGATGCTTGGCAAGGCGATGTCGTACATGAGAGATTGGCTGTACTTTGCCGCTTCTGATGTTAAACAATGGCGGAGGCCACTTCTTTGCCTCATAAACAATCCAATCATTCCACAAGTCCAAGGAGACTCACATTCCCAGTCCGAATCCGATCCGAGAACGTGCATGGGTGTTGCCGTGGAACTCGAATTTACATAATCGAGGAGACTTGTCCAATTCCAATGTCTCACAGCCTGCATAGGATTTATTCTCGAGGACCGCATCAGCGCCTTCCCTGCCCCTGTATTCTCTTTCTCATCCAAGTGTCAATAATCAAAGATGACTCGTAATGATCCGATGGCCCAACAACCCATCAACTATGCTACCCTGGCCCTCGAGCTCATCCGCCGTGCAAAGTTACCGCATCCGAATGGCGAGTTGCTCAAGTGCTATGTCAAGGAATCCGTCGGCAACGAGGTGGCCGCAAGATACTTCCTAAAAAGGTGCTCTCGCAGCAGGTGCTGCGAAGGAACTGGCCTCCAAGGTTTCTTATCGGACTGGAAAAAACTTGTGTCATCCTGTGAGCTTCTCCATTGTGTCTTCACTTCGATAGACTCTCTGCTCATAGGATGGGTTTAGTTATCAGCGATTCACCAGTTCATCCCATCACAGATAAGAGTCTTGCCTTAAAGGTTGCGGAACGAGATGGGGGGGTCTGCTGCCTGACAGGGAAAAGTCACTCTTTCTGGGACCCGTTACAAGTGTATCCTATCTTCCCACGCAAGGACAATGCAATCAATACGGTAAGCACAGTTCATCTTTTATTTTCTTCACTGGAAGCGCGCTAACCAGTGACCAGAGCCGCTACACGAAGACGCTCCGCGACATGCTCACCGCTTTTCTTACTCCAGACTTGCGAGACCGAGTCCTAGAGGAACATAAAGAATTGCGCACCAGCCCTCGAAACTGTTGGCTTGTCCGTCGGTCGGCAGCCGCCGCTTTTACTCAGGGCTATTTTCAGTGCGAGCTTATGAATAGTACCCAACACGAGGTAAGAGATTCTTCTCCCTGCCCCATCAGCCCTGGTCCGTGCCGCCTAAGTAATGCAAAGCCTTCAATAATGATCTAACACACGAATCCGTCCGATGCGTACATTTTAGTATCTCGTTTGTCTTGTGCTAGTAGGGGGTCCTGCCTACCCGCCGATTCTCTCACAGCTTGGGCTTGTCCGAGGGGTGGTATTCGGAACCCGATCTGGAACAGAGGGACCAGATCAAGATTTACTCAAAGTTCTATACCACTTCGCCGAACCAGTCAGATGGATTCATGTCTCCCGAGGAATCCTCCAAAGGCAGCAAAACCAGTCTTACACATACCTCAAGTCTGTAACCTGCAAAGCCAACTCTATCTTGAAATGGCTCGCTGTGACCCTCATTGTGGCGTTCTTCGCCGTCTGGAGACTTATGCCCGGCAATGTCCGTATGCGCGGCTACAAAGCTTTAGCCTACGTTGGAAAGCGCATTTACCCAGCGTCAGAAAGCTTCAAGATCCAGCGCCTTCCGTTCGGTCTCTTCCTCAAAGGGACGGATTTGCGATGGCAGCAGGGCCTTATCAATGAATACCATGCTCTAAAGATGATACCGCGTTACTGTACCACAGCGGTCCCTCGTGCCCTGGACCTCGTGTCGGACTCGGACGACATCTACATGGTGATGACCAGAATTCCCGCCTGCCACCTGGGTCTCTGTTTTGATACACTCGACGATGCCGAGGTTGAAGCTCTCATCAGGGATTTGAGGAAGTTCGTCACGGAGTTGCGTGCAATTCCTCGAGCACCCGAGGCGGAGGGCAAAATATCCAATGTGATCGGAGAAGCGTGTTTTGACCATAGAATCAACCTCGGGTTGACATTTGATCAGGGACGAGGACGCGATTTTGTCGGTCCCTTCGCGAACGAGGATGAATTCAATGATATCTTGACACACCCAGGCGTGCCAGACGTAAGGCATCGCAGCGGGCATCCAATAGTCTTTACTCACGGAGACCTTAACATGCGCAACGTCATGATGGAGAATGGCAAGTTATCTGGTGTTATAGACTGGGAGAACTCGGGCTTCTACCCGGAATACTGGGATTACACGAAGGCTCACTTTATAACCAAGATCAATAAGCGGTGGCTGGGAATTGTCGATCGAGTATTTTCCCCCAGTGGGGAATTTGAGACCGAACTCGAGACGGAATTCAAGTATTGGCGTTACTGTCAGTAGTCTTGTTAAGTCTATGCTGGAGGTGTTGAACTGTAATAGCATTTGGAATATCAGGCAGGACTTTGAGAAATTGCGCTTATATTAGGAACTGGAATTAGGGGCAGCGTTTCTTGACTTTTTCAATAACATCAACGTCTCCCAACACCCACATATTATCCATTTCTGTAATCCATTTGAGTCGATGTTTTTTTGTCAGATATTTTTGCTCGTCTATGTGTGAACAAAGCGTTCATTGTTGTTTCCTAGGTACTTTGCACCTGCAATGCATAGTTGACGAAGGAAGGTTCGCCAGTTTATGCCAGCTGTTAGCAGACCATTCGGGCCGCCAATACGAAAATACTGGCAGAAATTTGGCGGGGTTCAGACGGCATCAATATTTCTCAAGCTTTTCATCAACACCCCGCTTCGTGGTAAGACCGACCTTCTTCTCGACGACATCTCGCACAACTCCCCCATTCTATTCACCCCCGATCATGACGACCGAAAAGCTTGATCCTGCTATTGAGCAGCTCAATGCTCTCGTTTCCAGCGTCACTGCCCTCCTAACCCAGCTCGAGGCCACTCTAACCGAACTCACCAAGGAGACCGAGCCCCTCATGACCGTCGAAGAGACCTCCAAATTCTACAGCAGCTTCGACAGCAAGCCCGCAGTCCCCGGCTTCGATTGTCTCAAGGCCGCCTCGGGCTCGGCCGCCCTGATCAAGGCCCACACCACCAAGCTCTCGCTGCTCATCATCACCGAGCCGTTCACCCCCACGGCCATCTCCAAGGTCCTGCGCGAGCTCGTGTCGGGCGCCGTTCCTTCTCTCGCCACCGCCGCCGAATTTTGCCGGCCCGCCGGCTACACCTTTATATTTAGCCAGGCGTTTCGTCTCAAGTGCCACTCGCTGCTTCGAGAGCTTCGGACGTTTGTTCAGAAAATTCCCGCCGATGGAAAGGTGCTCTCCGAGGAGCAGAGACAGACGGCTACCGATGGCACCGGCAAGGGTAGCCTCCCCATGACGGGGGTTCTCTGGTCGATTTGCGACGACCTTGCGAGATTCGCCGACGCTGGAGTTGGGTCCTTTTTCGTCAATCGGATAGAGGAGACGAGGCTGACGCTGAAGGATATTGTGGACGAGCTCACGGAGTGGCAAGAGGAGTCCGACAACCGAGATGACGACGACGATGACGATAATGATGGCGAAGACTCAGATGGGGGCGCCGCCGATTCGGACTCGGCCGTCGGCCTCGATGATAGCTTGCAGACTTTGAATGCCTCGACTAATGCCCAAGCCCTTCTCGACGACCTAATGAACTCAGCCAAGCTGATCCCGCGCGACGATACTCAGAAGATCCGGCCTCGGCTTAAGGAGTGTCTTCGCTCTTTGAAGTTGACCATGCTCATGTGTCAAGCAGTTTCTAAGAGGCGATTGAAAACACTACCGCCCTTCCCCGTACAGAACTACAAGATTCCCATGACCCTTCAAAAGGTCTTTAGGCACCTGGGAATCCTGCCTCAAAAGTACGAAGACGTGGTGATGGCATTTTACGAACTCGATCCTACTTCGATTGACAAGAATCTTTCGGATGCCATCTCCGACGTCGTGGGAGTCATCGCTGAGCTGAAGCAGCCCTGGGCTGGCTCTCCTTCTGACGGCTTTTCGTCATGGTATGACAAGTTCCGTGACGAGCTTCAGTCGGTTGGGAAAAACTATTAGTCGCTAGGGGTGATTGAAAGGATTACAGAGCCATATACCAAGGGTTGGGGAGGTCATGCATATACGGCGGGCTTTGTACAGAGCTCTAGATTCGTAAGCACCGGGAGGGTCTTCACAGGAGAAGAAACCTGGGGGAGAGGGGAGGAAAGGAAAAGGTTAGAAAGACAGGGTCCCTGAAATATAAACGGATCGGGCTTCGCAGCCATTGAAACCTAGTCAACCGAAGAGCGAGAGTCAAAGACCGTTGAAGATGTACTTAGTGATCGACGCCACCAGAGCTCAGCCTAGAGAAAGAGTGTAGCCCGCACCAGACACCGTTTCTTCGAGGCTAGCATCCCGAGGCAGCACTTAGCAGCTCGATGGGCTAATGCTACACTTGTAGTGCAAATCCGACCGGGCCCAAAGTGCGGCGCAGCAAAACATTCCGAGTTTATTTCCGGAGGCGCTGATCTCAGCCCGAATCTGAGTCTATACTAATCGGAGGTGGTAATCTTCCTCTCGAAGAATTGGCCGCCATGCCGCATTCCACCCGGAGTGTCTGAATTTTGGCTTCACGACCACCGAGCCTCGATTATCCCTTGGGATAACAGAAGTTAACAAGAGCACATGGCTACGGAAGAAGGTTTGCAGCATGGAATGCCCTCACTAGGCCCGGCCCAGGTTTCGCTTTTACCCGACTGAGATCATTAGGTAGTAAGCGGACCGGACTGGGCCTGGTGCTGTTTCGAGGGCATATTGATCATTGACGGCTTTGATCAACCGATTCTGTCTAAGAACTAGTATCATTCGAACAAATCTTCCTGGTCCAGCCCTCGACAGTCTACACTCAACTTACAGTTACTTAAGAACGAGTTATGTACGATAAGAATACCTAAATACCAATATCCGGCTCGCCCAAGCCAGGATGGCCGAGGGAGAAAGAAGAGTAGAACGTTAAAGTTACTCGTTGTCCCGTCATCCCACGACGGCGTCGTCCGATAGCGGCATCAATAGAGAGAAGACGAGATCAACCCAGAGAAGAGGACGAACAGATTCACAAGGCAGATCTCAATCAACTTTCCACCCTCCCCGCAAGCAAAACGCAATTTTATTAATCCCCAAATTCCAATGTGCGATCCCAATACTTTGCAACCCGCCCACTTCCCAATTAGCCGTCAATAGCATCAATGATGAATGGCCCGGACGCTCACACTCCTCCGAAGAGGTTATAATTTGATCTTTGTATTATACCCGGAACGCCATCCCATAGGAGGTTCTATTTCCGCGGTCCACTTGGCAAAAATATCGACTCTCGATTCATGGAACCTCTCCTTGCGCCCCCCCTTATTCCTTAAAGAAACCATCTGAGTGCTTTGATACCCTTCTTTAAGGAAGCTAAGGACTCGGCTGAGCTGCCCTTCGAAATTGCTTCCTTCTTACCCGGGGCAGACTTCTATTAAACGAATCCCCAACTCGTAGATTCTTTTCTTTTCCTCGGCCAAGGGAATAGCGTGTGCCTATGCCCGACGTATCGGCGATGACCTCTGCGCTAATACCACCCTCGAACCATCCCAACCTAGGGAAAATATCCGGAATGGGGTTGCCGTTATTGAAATTATGGTGCCAAGGGGATCATGAGAACGGAGAGTAGATCATTCCCTTTAAGACGTCACGATCGGGTTCACTTTATGTGAACCCGAGGCTCTTCGCTCTCTTCCTCTTCCCTCCTCCCCATCACCCACGCTCCCCAGTCCGTTGCTCTGTTCTTCTCTCATCCTTCTGGAAGCCCTCTTTCCTTCCTGGAGCGTTGTTACTTGTTCTTGTATTATTCGTCTCTCCAAGGCGGAAAATAAAGAACGAGAAATAAGGTAACCCCATCCCACTCCTTTTCGTTTGACATGCCGAGTCTCCGAGCTTGGCGACGCGCTCTTGCGCCGGTCGCGATCCTCTCGTGGGCTTCTCTCGTTGTGGCTCATCCCCTCGTTAGCGACAAGCTACTACGCCGAGCTGAGATCCAGATTGAGGATGTGAAGGAGAGCTATGACTACATCATTGTTGGTGGTGGCCAGGCTGGCATCGTCTTGGCTAGCCGTTTGTCTGAGGATCCTGATGGTGAGTTCCCATTTTGTGCTATCCAACATTGTCGCGTCAATTTGGGGAAAACAACAGAAGAGGATAAAGATCTAATAACTTCGGGCTTTAGTGACTGTCCTCGTTGTCGAGTATGGCTACTTCAACAATGCCCCCTCTGTGCTCCAGCCTTCTAGTGCCACAAGCTACCAGCGCAACGTCCAGTTCAACATCACTTCAGTTCCTCAGACCGAGCTTGACGGGTATAAGCAGTCTGTATTCGCTGCCTGCTGTGTCGGTGGCGGTTCCACTATTGTGCGTTTGTCCCCAAGTTCGAGTTGAATTGTTGTTGGGTTGTTTCCTCCTTCTCTCTTCTTTTGCTTCCTAACTCCATGGCAGAACGGTATGCTTCTAAACCGTGGCTCGGCTGCCGATTACGATGCCTGGGAGGCACTCGGAAACCCCGGCTGGGGCTGGGAAGGTCTTTACCCGTACTTCATCAAGGTTTGTATAACCCGTGAAGGCAGAGAGTGGAAGAGAAAAGAGCTGACTTGTTTTCCATCTAGAGTCAAACCCTCGACGAACCAAACCCTGCGTCGGCTGAGGAATTCAACATCACCTGGGGCCCCGAGTCCTATGGTGACGGACCCATCCATGTCTCTTTCTCCTCCTTCCAGTGGCCCGGCGTCAGTACGTGCTCTCTTTGTTTCCCATCTGGAAAGAAAATGGAAAGAAGAAATTGAAGGGAAAGTAAGAGCTCAAATTAAATTAACAATTACGTCTACAGAGATCCAACGCCAGGCCCTCATCGAAGCCGGTGCCGAAGCTCCCATCGACGGCTCCGGTGTAAGTCCCGCAACGCACGCACCCACTCTCCCAACAAGTGCCCAACTAACAAACTGCACAAAAAAAATAGGGCGACGCCTACGGAGTAATCTGGTACCCAACCGCCCTCGACAACTCAACAGCCACACGCTCCTACGCCGTCAACGGCTACTGGGACCCAGCCAAGGACCGACCCGGTCTCAATCTCCTGACGGGCTGGCGCGTCGATGAGGTAACTTTCGACGAGGACAAGCACGCCACGGGCATCGTCATGCGCCAGCGCGGCGTCGAGGATGCCGAGCGCATCTCGGTCAAGTCGAACCGCGAGATTGTCCTTGCGGCTGGAGCTCTGCATAGCCCTCAGGTGCTGCAGAGGAGCGGTATCGGACCCAAGTGGTTGCTGGATGAGGCGGGTATCGATGTGCTGGTTGACCTTCCTGGTGTTGGGTCGAATTTGCAGGATCATGCTGTTTCTGGAGTTTCCTATCAATGTAAGCCTGAGCGATGCTTCAAGCCCAACTTTCTTCCTCGCCTTTTTCGGGGTCTCAAGCCACTAACGATGGAAAATAATAAAAAGTCACCACCAACCTCGAGCTCAACCCGCAAGACTCCATGGCCAATACCACCTTCGCCCAATGGGCCGCCAAAGAACTCGCCGAAAATCACGCGGGACCCCTCCGCATCGCTACAGGCAACATCGGCGGCCTCATCCCCTTCCCCGTCATCGATCCTGAAGGCTACGAGGCCCTCATCGAAGAATACCTCGACCTTGACCTCGCGCCGCACCTACCCTCCTCCTACACGGAGGAGAACATCGCCGGCTACGATGCCCAACGCACCGTCATGGCCGACATGCTTGGGCGCGCCGACAACGCCTTCCTAGAGCTCCCTCTGCAAGCGGCTCCGGGGTACTCGGCGGTGCTGATCAAGGTTCTGAGCCGCGGCACGGTGCATCTTAACCCGGAGGACATCTACGGTGAGCCGATTGTGGATTATTTCACGTACGGGATGCCGATCGATAAGAGGATCATGAGGAGGGTGGTCAAGTGGGTAAGGAAGGTGCACGCGACGGACGCCATGAGCGAGTTGGGTCCCAAAGAGGTTTCGCCAGGCGAAGATGTCGTGACGGATGAGGAGATTGATGCTTGGTTGACGAAGTCGACGAGTTGTTCGACGGCGCATAATTCTTGCTCGAATCCGATGATGGCGAGGGAGCATGGTGGCGTTGTTGGGCCGGATTTGTTGGTGCACGGTGTTACCGGGTTGAGCGTTGCGGATTCGTCCATCATGCCTATTGTTCCGGTATGTGTGCTCGGAGGGGGGGATATGGAGAGATGGAAGGGGTTGAGAGAGGAACTGGACTGACTGTGGTCTACAGGGCGCGCATATTTGCTCGACCGTCTACGCGATTGCTGAAAAGGTAAGGCCTCTTTTGCTGTTACGTCTTTGGTCTATTGTCGAAGAAGAAACTAATGAGACTACGCAGGCCGCGGACATCATCAAGGAGCGCCACGGTGGAAAGGCCGAGAAGCCCGAGGAGCCCGAGGAAGAAGTTCCCGAAGAGGGGGAGCCCATTGAAGAGGACCCGGAGGACGATTCTTGTTGATGGTTCTGGGCAGAAAGGACAGGAACGCCGAATATAACCTCTCCGTTTCTGCGAGTTGCAAGTCAAAGGTGAAGAATGTCGAGATATTCTCATAAAAATAGCCAATTTAATCCCACTTATTGATATCCGCTCCATTATAGTCTCTCTCTCTCTCTCTCTTTCCAACTTCCGCCATTCATATTGCATATCTTGCCGAAAATATCCCCTGCTTAACCATGCCGGGGATTTTCCAGCGGATATTTCCTCTCCTCCTCCCTTGGCGGATATCTTGGTTTAAGTGGTCAAGTGGAAGGGATCAAGACATTTTATGCACGGCCAGGCTAACCATTCCAGAACAGGATCCGAATTGGATAAAAAGTGGCGAGCAGAGAGATGGTGGTGAGTGAAGCGATTTATCTGGGTGTCCTCGCAATCAGCATCAATTGATGTTCATCTTCATGTGAGAAAAGCCGAAGCTTCAACTAGGCGCTGCAAGGCGACGTTTTCAACCAAGGGTAATGGTCTCCAGCATGATAAGAGAGCTTGAGAGATCAACAAGCGAAGAACTTCGAGACACCTCCCCTGGAAGCATGATTGATCTGTAGGCCCAAAAGACAAACAGCCTAATTCATTATTACAACTGTGCTTTCCATCAGTCTTCAAATTGTTTATATGCTGGTGAGACATTGGAGGTTGAGTGTACCTTGTACCTTGGTACATCAAGAAAACCTAAGATGAAAAAATGACTCAGCAGCCCCCACATTACCCACAGTTGCACTTTCCAATTGTTAGTCGTTCTCACAAGGATTGTCCTGTTTGAGTCTGTCTTTGGCCTCCGTGTGGGAAAAGTGCAGCACAGTCATTGTCTCTGCAAGGATGGATCATGGCCGCAGGAACCAGGGAGCCTGCTTGAGGTGAGAGAGGAGTCACGAATATCATCTCGTTTCTGAACTCCCTCTTCTCATGCTCGCCAGGCCAACCATCCATGTATTTTCTATTTTGGTAGCAGATCTTTTTATTTCCAGTCCCTGGTCAAAGATCCCGTTCATAGCCCCGCGTTTCTAGTCTTCGAGAGGAAACCTCAAACTCCATCCAAGTCTCTCTTTTCTCCTCCTCAAGCTGTCAACTCCACACAGTCTGATGGGAATGTGGGAATGCGCACACCGAGTATTCATATTCATCATTACACCTATTTTGCCGCAAGACCAGTTTCCATATCCCAGAAGAGATCCAGTTCATTGCCGCACTTGCCAACCAGGGCGAGACCTTCATCCGTTCGCCTCTCCTCCAATATTTCCAAGCCTGAGATTATCATGGAACCAGGTCCTCCAAACCATTCAGCTCTCCTCAATACCTTACCCAAGACCACCAACACATTATATGGGCGACTATGAGTGAAAAGCTGGTTGTACGTATTCTATATCCTACTGACGACCTTCGACGCCCTATCTACAATGGTACCTCAGCCTGGGTCTGGATGGCGGCTAATGAGTAACGACTAGGATGAATTTCATTCCAAGCTGGAAGAGGGCTTGATCCTCGCCATCGGGAGAGACTATGACCTCGACAACCGGGAGGAGTTCGAGACGGTTCGAAGGGTTCTCCAGGAACTGGCAAAGAATGTGCCTGACGAGGAAGCGTCCAGCTTCGCCGCTAATGGCTCGGGCCAAAACGTGAAAGCCTTCGCGCGTGATTCCTCTTCCTCTACTGATCCCACGAGTAGTCACAGAGCATTTCAACGCCAGGAACCCTCCGGCACCGATCAGTCGGTGGACGATTGCTGTCTCTACAGCGACGACGCGGCGGGAGGCGAGCGGGTTGAGATCTCTCGTGTGAGCGCTTTCGATCATGAGAGCGAAGATGCAAAGTTCGCTCAGCTGGCGTCGATGTTTCCGGGCTTAGAGCTGCGGAAAATCGGGGACGCGCTGAAGCGTGCTGCGGGTGATTTCCCGGCGGCGATGGATGAGCTCCTCGCGGTTGTGTATGTTGAAGAGACGGAGGAAAAGACGCCGGCTATTGATGCATTTTTTAAGCCTGAGGATGAAAATAACGGCTCTCAGTCGAGATCGAAGAAAAGGAAGGGAAAGAAGCGAGGCAAGGGTAAAGGTGATCTCGGAGAGAAAGGTCAATAAATCCCACCGCAGCTCTCTATATTTCCCATCTTATTGGCTAACGTAGATCTTATAGAAATGAATGACATTCTGTTCCTTACTGAAAGGCTAGACATACCCCACGAGATGGCTACGGCGGCCTATCTCGGGAGCGGCAGGTCACAGGCCGCGGCAACAGTCGTTATTTTGGACGACTATATCCGCGAAGGCGTGGAGGCCCAGGGCGAAGATGCCCAAGGCCGATTGAGAAACCTCCAACGTGACCACAAGCACGTTCCCATCGAGTATCTCTCCTCCATCATCCAGGTAGCGGGCCCCATTGAAGAATGGCAAAACGATGTTGCCGGGTTGCTCAACAAACACTTCTCCGATAAGGAAAAGGGCCCGCTGTCGATTTCGTACACCTTGACGCCCATTGAGGATGAAGTTGAGGATGGGTATTCTGTCGTCACTTCAAAGAAAGGTCCAAAATCCAGACAGGCCAGTGGTCGTGATTCCCAAGTGTCCTCGTCGAACCGGGTAACCGCCCTCGGAACATTAGCATCCGCTTCGCCGATTGGCGGCTTCAGAATGGGAAAATCCGGTCCTGTGTACTCCCAGACAAATTCCGCCTCTTCTTCCAATACAATCATGGAGCTCAGACAAATGGCACGTCAAGCCAGGACCGAAGCTGCCCACCAATTGGTCAACCAGCGACGCACGGAGAATTCCATCGACCTCCACGGTGTCACCGTTAATGACGGTGTTCGAATTGCTTTAGATTCTGTTAGATCATGGTACGATAACCTCGACGGGGAGTACAAGGCGCGCGAGGCAAAGAAGGGGTACACGATCATCACTGGTCGTGGCCTTCATAGCCAAGGCGGCGTCTCTCTCTTGAGGAAGGCCCTGTTGCCTCAACTTGTAAATGCAGGATGGAATGTCCAAGTTGGGACTGGCCTATTTACCATTTATGGGCGCCTGCAGAAGTAAACTATTTGTATAGGTCAAAAGAGTGACGGACTACACCATGTCAAAATCAAGAGTACATATGTTTATTTGTACGTGGGATATTAGAGATGTTTTAGCCAGCCCATTTCATAGAATTGTCAATGGATATGATTGATGTTTGAAATGTCTGACTTTAGACTAGGCAATTCACAGCTATAACAATCATCCCCTCTCCAGATTTAATTCTCGTCTACACCCTGGGTTCTTTACAAAAGCTATCCGCCGCCTTCCCTCACAGACGCTTCTAACTCTAATTTTTCTCTACATCCATGGGCGCGCCACAACCGCACCGCGTCAAACTTTGGTAGCCTTAGCCTTCCGGAGCTGGACACCACACCTCAACCACACGTCGTACCCCGACAACAGCGTAGACACCAGCATAGCCCAACCAACCACAGCAGGATCAAGAACAGCCCATCGCAGCGCCGCAGTCGGAAGACACAGATCCAGCGTATCCACCGCCAATTTCCTCACAAGCGCGTTCTTCTTCGCAGCCGTCCGCGCCTTCTCCTTCTCCGCCTCTTCCTTCTTCCTCTTCACCTCGTCCTTCTCCTGCTTCGCACCGCTCTTCTCATCCTCAACCAGTCCGTAAACCTCGCCGCTGGGAGGAACCGGCGCGAAGGCGTAGAGACTGGCCAGTCTCGAGATACCGGCCAGGATCCCGCACACGAGAGCCATGAACCAGAATCTTTGCGCTTCGAGGTTGATCGCCTTTGTCATCTGCGGACCGAACCCCGTGACGCCCGCCAGGTCGGGTATCGTGATGGATTCGAGTAAGCCATACATGCCCAGGAGGCTCATGCGCAGAATGTCCAGCCAGAGCTCCAGAGTCGGAGTCGATCCTCCTGCGCCTGCATTGTAGAGAGCTTGGGCGGTGGAGAAGCAGTCGAGGAAGCGCCAGAGCCGGATGAAGCGGCGGGTGAGGTTTACCGTTGCGCCGAGGGTTAGGAGCTCGGCGACGGGGATGGGGGTGAGGGATATTGTGAGGGCGGTGTTGGCCGCGATTTGGCAGGCGGCTTGGACGAAGCGGAGGAAGCGCTCAAGTCCGACTTGAGCGGAAAGTTAGTAAACTAATGGATTAGGCTGTGTGAGAAGTTATGTACGTGTTGGAGGCTTCCACTTGGACGCGATCCTCGACTTTGACCGGAGGGCCTGAATTGATGGGGCGCGCGAATATGATCCGACAACAGCATTCTCCTTGGAAGTTAGGTAAAGGACACGGGAATGTATCTACCCCAATTGAGGTATGAAGAAAGCGGGAAATGAGGCTTTTCACGTACAACTGTCTACGCCAAACAAGGCAAACTGTTCATACACAGACATCTTGACGAGATGTCTTTATTTTTTAGGAACGAACGGCGAAAGATCTTTTGAATTTTGTATCTTCAAACCACAGGTAAACCGAAGTAAATACTGGAAGATTACAAGTACTCTATCATGGGAATCCAAGAAACAAAAGATCGGAAGAGTCCTTTTTGCGACGTTGAAGTTGGATTCAAGGAAGATTGTGAGACTTTGATTGGTTCCACGTTGCAGCTCCAGGTCAACCAAACCCGCTAGCCGAAATGAGACGAGCTGGAGAGAAGATGGCTCGTTCACTGTGGACACGTTCTTGATGGTGATCCTTGGCAGCTACGGTTGGAAAGGGAAACGAGAAGAGCAGATAGAGAAAAGGGAATAAAAATAAAGTCGTGGTTTTAGTAAATACAATGCTTCCATCCTGTCCCCAAAAATAGACCACCAATCGGACAGTTATGGAGTACAGCGCAGTATGCACATAGACAGCCATGCGTTTCTTCTATAGATCAAACAACCATTTGCTCAAGTTTTCGTTTTATTCCTAATTACTGGCCGGGAGAAACAAGCTTTCCCTTGGACCTGGTATCGTGGTTCCAGCCTCCAGCGAGGGCTTCGCCGCCAGTGAGCTGTGCGAACTCCTGCATCCTCGCCTCGAGCTCCGGTCGGAAGTGTCGGATAAGGCCCTGGATGGGCCAGGCGAAGGCCTCTCCAAGAGCTATTTAAGAGGGTTAGTAACCGTGGTTGGATTAGGTAAAAGAAAAGAGAAAGAAACAAAGCAAAAAAGAAACGAGTCAACGATAGGACATGAAAAACTTACCGCAAATGGTGTGACCCTCAACCTGCTTCGTTAGCTCCTGAAGCATGTCGATTTCCCTCGCCCTTCCCTTACCCTCAACAAATCGGCTCATGATCTGTTCAGTCCACTTGCTTCCCTCTCTGCACGGCGTGCACTGGCCGCAGCTCTCGTGGCGGTAGAACTTGCTGAGACGAGCGATCGCACGCACGACATCAGTGCTCTTATCCATAACGATGACGGCCGCGGTACCGAGACCAGACTGGCTATCCTTGAGCGCATCAAAGTCCATAAGCTGGTCCTCGCAGATGCGCTTGGGCAGGATGGGAGTCGACGATCCTCCGGGGATGACGGCGAGAAGGTTATCCCAACCACCTCGGACACCACCACAGTGCTTCTCAATCAGGTCTCGAAGAGGGATGGACATCTCCTCCTCAACGGTGGCGGGGTTGTTGACGTGGCCAGAGATACAGAAGAGCTTCGTGCCCTGGTTCCTCTCACGACCGAAACCAGCGAACCAGTTACCACCACGACGACAAATTGTAGGGGCAACAGACACCGTCTCGACGTTGGCGACGGTAGAGGGGCAGCCGAAAAGACCGACGGCGGCAGGGAAGGGAGGCTTGAGGCGGGGCTTGCCCTGCTTGCCTTCGAGGGACTCGATGAGAGAGGTCTCCTCACCGCAGACGTAGGCACCGCCACCACGGTGAATGTAGACGTCGAAATCGTAGCCCGAACCGCAGGCGTTCTTTCCGATGAGGCCGTCGGCATACGCTTCGTTGATGGCTTGTTGGAGAACGGCAGCTTCGTAAACGAACTCTCCGCGAATATAGATGTACGCAGCGGTGGCGTTCATGGCCCTACCGGCGACGAGACAGCCTTCAACCAGCTTGTGGGGGTCCTTTCGCATAATCTCTCGGTCCTTGCACGTTCCGGGTTCGCCCTCGTCGGCGTTGACCACGAGGTATCGGGGCTTGTTGTCCTTGTCCCAGTCCTTGAAGTTCATGAAAGACTACGAGGAGAGGAGCATGTTAGCATATCCGGTTAATTTCTGTGTCTCTACTCAATCGCAAACAGGCTCTTGAGATGAGAATTGCTCACCCATTTCAATCCGGATGGAAAGCCAGCACCACCACGTCCACGGAGTCCCGAAGCCTTAATCTCATTGATGATCCAGTCGTGGCCCTTGAGAATAATCTCCTTCGTCTTGTGCCAGTCACCAAGCTTCTTTGCGTGCTTGAGATCGGCAGGGTAGCGACCGTAGAGGTTCTGAAAGATGCGGTCCTGATCCTTCAGGTTTCCATACGTCCGGCTGGGGGTGCCATCCTGAACTGTGGCGAAGCCGCGGATGGCCGTCCGGGTGATGCCCGCTGCCGTTCTCGGCGCAGCTCTAGGGGCGAGCATCTTATCGTCGAATTGATGTGGGGAGGTTACGAGTCGCGAAGCAGAGCTTGCATCGGACGGGTTGAAGTCGGGAGCTGGTGATGCTGTGGTTGCGGCACTTGAAGGTTTGTCGTGATTTTGTGAGAAGCAATCCAGATTCGGTTGTTGCTGATTGGCCAATAGGAGCCATCGGATTGACATCACGGCTAAATGTTTTGGAGGTACATGGAATCTAGCGGAGATGCTATGAAGTGTAATGTACCTTGTTAACTATCTCGCCTGGCACCAATTGGCACCTGGCAAAAGTTCCTTTGTTGCCATTGCAGCTGCCTGGCATTCGAATAAGGAGTAGCTCGTCGTTGGGATTCAACCTCGAAGCACGAAGCACGAAGGAGCCTTGTTCGGATGCTCGTCCTAACTAGGCATTTCGATCCTGAAATGCTGTCCCTTCCAAACGACAGAAAGCCACGGGTATAGCAAGAGCTTCTCTATTCTCAATCAAGATGTCCTCCTCCAGCAAACGCAACTCCATGTTGCCGCCTGTCGCACAACATGGCCCAAAAGCCCCAGTGAAGCTCTCCTCGACCCTGGTGATCGCCGACAGTGCTATCCTAACTGGTACACACTCCATTATAATCATGTCAGAGTCAGTGGTGCATCCTAGGTGTAGATTAGAGTCCATGGCGGGCAGTCTTCTCATCGGCAAGCGATGCATTATCCACGAGCGAACCCATATCGGTGCTATCCCCACGACAGGCGATGGGATGGGTGGCGGCGTCACGATTGGAGACTATGCGACGATAGAGGCCACGTCTGTGATTGAGGCAGGTGGAACTCAAATCGGAGAAGGCACTGTTGTTGGAATTGGGGCGAGGGTTGGTGGCGGCGCACGAATAGGCAAGGTGAGCCTCCCCCGTAGTATCCTTTAGTCCTAAGACGCTTCCCGAAAACCAGTTCGCCCCCTTCTGCAGCTACCTACTAATAGTGGTCATAGAATTGTACAATATCACCGAAAGTAGCCATTGCGCCAGGCGACTACGTCCCCGATTTCACGGTCGTCCTACCTAACAATATCAGGCGAATCGATCGACGAGAATTGGGAGATATGCGGTATCGGGCCCAAGTTAGACAGATCGAAGTTTTGCGACGACTGATACCCTCGAATCCTGCGAAGTTTCAATAGAAAGATGCACTTGACCTGTCGTGGCACTTGACCATGCATCCGATAGGCACCTCATTCATTCCCTGAGGCCAGTCCGAAGCCACGAGTGCGTTCATGCGCACACCGAAGACACAAGGAAGGTCTAGGAACTATTCTATGGGAAATACCTGGAAGACGGGCACACAGCATCTTGCGGAGTAAACGAGCGTCGCTTATTCTCACTGCGCGCCTGGCCTGTTGAGAGCCACCAAACCGTCGACCCTGACCATTCTGATGAGCCTGGTAGACCCTATTGGTGTTTGGATTTACCCCTCACAGAATCGATGCCTCCGTCACCATGGCGATACCAGAGCGTAGGCAGGATGTTCTCTGGAGATGATCAAATTGGTCTTTTCCCGCATCCATTAGCCCGGAGGTATTGGTGTATTAAGGAGTGCAGTTGCTTTATTTCCAACCAGGCTCTACTCTGCTTGCTCATTTGACCCCTCTTCTCAGCCCTCAGGGTCCCGGAGAATAACCTTGACCTCGATATTCTCGAATCTCTCGCGAATACAGTATCTTCTCCGTTTAATTTACCAAACTGAATCTTGCGGTGCGGGCGAATATATCCCCGTTCCTCAGAGTTCCCCTTTGGCCGTTTGGCTCTTTTTAGGAAATCGCTGGATCGCCCCACTGTTCCGTTCCTTGCATTGAATATTAAACATGGGGCGTGGGTGAGGTCCTCACTTAACACGTCTTGGGATATCGATTCGGATAAAGTCCGTATTTACCCCGCCGTATGCATACGCAGCCTGGAGAACGGGCAATGTCCCCAAATGAAGAAGGGAATCATCCGTACCTCGTCCCCGACCCCGGATTCAGAGATGAGGGTGTGTTTCTCCGCACGGTAGTGCCGTGCCCTCAGTGTGTGCGGTCCCTATTGGGGAATGAGGCTCGGCGTCTCGCTTGACTTATGCCGGTCCGTGTGGGGTATTCTCTTTCACACTTCGTCCGGATCCTTATGTGAAAGGGAACCACTCCGCCGCGTTGCCGCTTTGAGGGCCTCTTGCCTTTACTATGCATGGACAAGATGGGGATAAACAATTTGGAGGATATCGAGTGTGGAGAACATGTGCTGCCTCCCTCTATCCTCACGATTATAACCCTCCCGATTATAACCCTCACGATTATACCGGTGAACCTGGTTCGTTTCCTCCGGCTGAAATCCCATCGCCAATTCCATCCCGACATTCTGCCCCGGAGAATAAAGTTGAAGCGAAATATCGATATTGATATGTGCAAGGCCAAGGCCCCAGGATAAATGCCCCTGGTTGCATCGGGAGAAAGGAAGGGGGGGTGGATTGCCTCGTCTCTTCGCAAGTTGGAGATGGCAAAGGGTAAATGTATTTCGATCATCATGTGAGTAGTTAGTCTATAGCATTACGGATGTCACAGTCGACATCGACAAGACTACTTAAAGTCAAGTGGGCACCCAGCCTATTTTCATAGAGGAAGGGTGGCTTGAAATTACTCGTCTCATACATTGACACCCTTTGATATCCCAGAGTACTGTCGCGAAAGATCCGTTCAAAATGGTCTCGTTCACTGCTGCCATTCTCCTCGCCGCCGGCGCTCTTGCCACCCCTCTCGAGCACGAAGCTCGTCAGGCGAGCTGCCCTCCAATCCATGTCTTCGGTGCACGGGAGACGACCGCTCCCGCCGGCATGGGAACTGCAGGCCCTATTGTCCAAGCCATCGTCCAGGCCCACCCCGGTGCCACGTCCGAGGCTATCGACTACCCGGCCTGCGGTGGCCAAGGCCAATGTGGCGGCATTCAATACGGCGACTCTGTCAAGGCTGGCACCGCGGCGGTCGCGAAAGCTGTGAATGCTTTCAATGAGAAGTGTCCCGAGACTCAGATTGTGCTCATCGGTTACTCTCAGGTTAGTAGACCTATCTGGGCAGCGATCCAAAACAAGATGCCGAACATCTTTTCTTGTCTTGCTAATGCTATCACGTACGTAGGGAGGTCAAATCTTCGACAACGCCTTCTGTGGTGGAGGTGACACCCACTCAGGGATTTCTGATACCGCGATACCCATCTCAGAGGCGGCCCAAAAGATGGTCAAGGCCGCCATCTTCTGCGGTGACCCACGACACATCGCCGGTCTTGCCTACGCTGTCGGCACTTGCCAGGCTTCTGGGGTAAGAAATTATTCCGTGACCCTCGATCCTCATTTCAGAGAGCTCTTAAGGCTAGATACTGACTTTGTTATGTAGTTCGCCCCGCGGCCTAATGGGTTCGAGTGTCCTTACGAGGACAGGGTCCAGCTGTACTGCGACGCTACCGATCCATACTGCTGCAACGGAAACGACGCCAACAGCCACCAACAATACGGAAACAAGTACCGGGCTCAAATCATGGAGTTTGTCAATGCCAGGCTCACATAAACCCTTCTTATGTCCATTTTTGGCGAAAAGTCAAGTCTATAAGGCAACCGTACAAGGTCGGTGACATGTTTCTCCAGCCCTACTGACCCCTTGTATATATAAAAGAAAAAGAACCTGTATGAATGAAAGGACCGATTCCCGTCAACCTCGTGGGTCTCACTGGCTTGTCTGTGCATGGTTCTTTTACCACCTGACCATGTTGGTTTCATGGCTTCCAATAGATTGTATAAGACCGGCGGACGCGCATTGCTTTTATATTGGCCCCAACAAGTCCGCGGATCCGGTTTTTTGAACCCCATTTTAGATTGTCCGGGGGAGGGCCATCCATGCGACCATCATCGTAACTATTACTTACAAACGCACCAGGGTTTCTAGGCGGAGGACCTCGGACGTTTGGTTGATAAGACGCAATCCCATCTCTGGTTCTTGTTCGGTGCGTCATAGTATCCGCAACTCTTTCGAGTATTTTGCTACTGGATTTCCTTTGAAGTGCTATCTGTGAGCCTCTCGGTTTTCCTGGGCGGCATGAATGCAAACAAAGCTACCTGCACACACCGGAGATCTAGCCCGAACCGACCCTGATAGTTCTTCGCTCTAGATATCCGAATGACCCTAGATCTGGCTCTACAAAACTCTTCAGCTTTCCCTCAAGATGGGAATGCAATACTTCGGAGTCGACGCAGACCTCAATGCTCTTCTGCTCTTGCAGCACTTTCTGGTGGCCAGAGCTGACCATCTTCTACTAAGTCTCGTATAAGGTGCCACTTTGCGAAGGACTCGCCATCTGTGGTCGCCTTGCGCCCTTCAGTGTTGCCACTGATGAAGATGAGGACGTGGACAGCTTCTGCCTTTTTTTGTCCCGCGTCAAAAGAGAGGGTGGGAGATTTTGTCATCTGTGGAGGTACTTGTACTCTGCATTACAAGCTGAGGTAGCTCTTGCATTAAAAGAAAGTAAAGGCGCACGTGCTACCATTATGTAAGGATACGGTACAGGTACTTACTTATTCAGCCCGCTGCACTACGGAAAGACATGGAGGAAGCTGGGGATTGCTCAGCATGTCCACCATTCTTTCCTTGGCCAGGGCTGATGCACGAAAAATAGGGACCCCGAATCGTATTACGAAGTAGACGGGATTCTATGCAAAGAATCTGGGTGCTGAGGCTTCCATCATTTAGTTGTTTCGTTTGTCCTGGAGCGTTGTATTCAAACGTTATTTGTTTCCTGCCGGCATTTATACATTGATAGCACCTTCTCTGGGGACCACCAAGCTAATAGCACCAACCGCCAGACTAAACCACCACCTCGATAATCCAGCTCCCATCACAGCTTGGTCCCTTTACCTTCGCCTTGAACCACCCTGAAACTCCGCCTTCCAGCTTCCAACCTTCTATTTCTGCATCGAGAGCACGAGGGACGCTCTATTTTTAACCACGACAGTGCCATCAGAAGGCAATCATTGATCCCGTCTCCCTCGCATCGGCCATCTCGGCGCAGCTTGTCAGCCGCGTCAGATGACGATTGCCTGGTTGGTCGCCTTCTCCTGACGACACTAGTAGAATCGACATCGCGCCGATCAGCTTTTCGCCGCGCCTGCCCTCTTCCCACCACTTTCCTACCTGCCTCCTCTGTCGCCAACCGTCCGCTTCGTATTTCTATCAAAATTCAAATGCCATGGACGATACGTCGGCATCCCATCGCCCCAATTCGGCTGCCATGTTAGAAGCTGCGAGCCATGCCCAACTTCTAGTTCCCAAGGTCACCATCGTAGAGACCATCTCGCGATCGACCTCGCCCGGCATTCCGAACAATAAGCGGCCTAGCGAAGACGAGAAGAAGCGATACCGGCCGCGCACCTTCAGCTACTTCGACCACCTGCCCTTCGCAGTCGAGGACCAATCCCATCGTGACGTCGCCCTTGCCGGGATCCTGAAGCAGCTTTTCATCGCCGTCAAGGCCGAAGATTTCTCCCCGGGCGCGCTTCACTGGACCCGTGAGCTTCAAGCATGGCTGAACTTGAAGTTTGAGATGACGCGGGAGCTCCGCGCTACCCTGGCTCGTCTCTACTACCATATGTCGCTAGCGCCAGGCCTCGACACGGTCACATCAGATCGATTTGCGAGGATGCTGGTTTCTCTAACCAGGTAATGTCAAGCGGCCTGTCCATCACCCTAACGTTATGCTGTTGAATCGGCAGCTTTGCCCTTTGGCCACGGCTAAGCCACTTTTCGATACTGATTGTCCCTCTCTTCTTAACAGAAAATACCATTACCTGAAACCTGTCGAAGATCTCGTGCTCGACTGGCGGCCGCTTTGGCGCGAGATCAAAGCTCTGGTACTACCAGGAGAGGTGCCAACCCATCAAAGTAGCCGTCGCAAGTCGCAAAAACAGCTATGGAAGCTCCTTGTCCATGCCCAATTCTACTTCGAGCCCCGAGAACGCCGACAGATCCTCGACGAGATCCTGCCATACTTCAGCACCTCTGACATATCAAATGCCTTCATCGTCATCGGGGCGTTGGGGGCCCTTTTGCCGACAACCCCCGGCCCTGACGATGCCCTCGACTGCGAGCCTGAGCACTTTTTCCCAACTCTCTTCCACTTGTGGTCACTCATCTCAAGATCGAAGCTTACCGATATCTTCATGATCGACCTATTCTCCCGCTTCGCCCGCGAGTACCTACCCAGTACGACTTCGGACTACACGGAATACGGGATATTCACGCGCGACCAATCCGACTTGATATTCACCGCAATTTTGCGGCTGACTGATATCCCGGTTGGCCAGTCGGGATCGCCTTACTCTTCTCTCGATCTTTCGAGTGGGTTGGGAATATATCTCGAGAAAGACAAAAAGAAATACCCTATAACATACATGATTGCCCGATGGATTGTGTACTCCTTGTCCCCCTTGTGCCTGGAGAAGGAGAACTCCGTCTTGTCAAGTCTTGAAGGACTGATCCAATCAGTGGATACGTTCTTCCACCCTTCCAATCAGGGTTCCTGGCATGTTTTCCTGGGCCAGCTCACCGTCTATCTTACGGATATCTTTGTCTCGCGCTGGAATCGCGAGGCTAGCGGAGAGTTGGAGTGCCCCCCGGAGCGCAAGATCAACGAGGCCTTGAAGAGGCGCTTTGTACTCTGCCTCAGGGACGTGACCTTTATGGGCATTTACTCGAAGAGCATGCGAGTGGCTAGCTACTACTATGCGACACTCCAAGGACTCGCCTTCTTGGAGCCTGATCTCGTGCTCCCCGGCGCGTTACAGCGTTTCTACCCCAGTTTGCAAGGCCTTGTCGAAGTTCACCGAACGACGTCCAGCCTCAATGGACTTCAGATGATTGCCAACACCATGTCCAAGCAAAAGGGATATCGCTGCCATATCACCGCGCTCCTTGGACTAGCACTCCCGGGAATTGATGCGAACGACCTCTCGAAGACTATTTACTCGCTCAATTTCATCCAGAGCGTAGCCTATAGTATTCCCATTGTCTCGCTCGCTACCGAGGATCAGCAGGTCCATGACACCAGCATCGCGATGCAATGGGTGCAGAGTGAGATGGACCGTATGGAGCGGGAGGGGCCCGATGTCAAGATTGACTACAAGAATGAACTGTCCGACGAGGACGAGGCAAATATCCTGCGTTCTTCGACGGCAGGGTTCGGGGAGTTCGTCATGGCCCTCCTCGGGAAGGTCTTTACTTTGTTAGAGAACCTGCCCGATTCGTCTCAGCGAGGGGCTACTCAGGAAGACAATGTCATCAACGCCCTTCCAGCGGCTCTTGCGCCGTTGTTTGCGTCGCTGTCTCCGGAGCTCTACGATATGGCCCTCGAAAAGCTTGCCACTTTCGTTTCGTCGCACGTTGTACATCAGGCCCGGGATGCCATGGCGTGGATTCTGAATGCATTTTGCCGCGTTGACCCTCAAAAGACGCTCAAAATATTTATCCCCATGCTGATTGTCAACATCCGCAACGAGATCGATTACAATCACGCTGCATCGGATCGCAGTAGCGGCACGGAATACCTCCCCAGGGATCGGGCACTGGTGTGGCATGTGAGTATGCTTGGCATGGTTGTCGTTCATGTCGGCGCAGAGGTCCTGAACTACCAGGATGAGCTCTTCTCGATTGCGCAGTATATGCAGGAAAAGTGCCGTGGTCTGCCGACGATCCACATCTCAAATTTCATTCATCACCTCCTTCTAAACCTGACCCACACGTACCCGATCGACCATAGCCTCTACGAGCCGGAGGCTATTGAGAAAGGGCTTGATGTCGACGCCTGGGGCCGCCTTACCCCCCCCTCAGAGCTGAGCATCAAGTGGCACGTGCCATCCCCCGAGGAGATCCAGTTCGCGGTGAAATTGTTCGATGCGCAGACCAAGTCCGCGTCCGACAAGTTGGAGCTCCTTATGGGCGACGACCCTCCAGTCAAGCGGGCTGGCAAGAACAAGGAATGGTCGGATGAGGTTGGGAGGCTTCTCGGTCGAATTCGACTCGCTATTTCCGGCATATCCACCCTCTTCGACCCCAAGAAAGCATCTGGGCATACTGGTAAGAACGGTACTCGTCAGGCCCCGGAGATTGACGACGATGGCGATCTGAACATGGGCGACGACGGCAACGAGGAGGACGACCCGCTTGCCGAAGTCGCAGATGATGAAGAGATGCGTCCACAATTCCGATACGAAGCTGGCTATTTCCTTAAGCCTGATGACCCTGCATACATTCGCATTCACGAACTCCGTGAGGAAATCGGCCATCTCCTATCGAGGATTCACCGATTCCTTTCCACGAACGCGGAAGATGAAGTTGCCTGTTTCCAATCATTATACTACGTCTACAAGGTCTGGATCACCGATGTTGGTCTTGAGCGGTCTGCTCGTTCTCTTGACCGTCATCTTCGGCTGTACAAGGCGGACATCTCCGCATTCAAGATTAACGGCCTGAGGAAGCAATATCCTCGGCCCCTGTTGATCAAGCGAGCCGCTGCATACTACATGTTACGGCTGAAGCACAATGCCACTACCCGGCACAAGAGTGATCTAGACAAGCAATTACTCTTGGATCTTGCCGAATCATGCATTTCGCCTTACGCGGATGTTCGTCGGACTGCGCAGAGCGCGCAGGATTCCTCTCTAAGGGCCCTCATAGGTGGACGGCCTATCGTTATCCCCGTTATTCTTGACGGCTTACGGACCGCAATTGAGGAGAACGACCATGACCGAATTAAGGGCTCACTCTACACTCTCTTCTTCACCACTCTTACGAAGACAGTGAGCCGCGATTGGAGGTTTGCCCCCGATGCTCTGCGGCTGTACATAGAGACCGCTGGAATCGATAAGCCTTCGATCCAGCACCTAGGGACAACCGCGCTTTATGCGTTGATCGAATTTGGCAAGCCGATCGAAAGAGTTGTTCTGTTAGACCAGGACCTCGTTGATACCATCAAGCCGGAAGATGACTGCTCAACGGCGATTCGTTCGCGACACGCGTTTATTGTGCAAAGGAGAAGCCGCGTGGAAAGTAAGAAAGCTGCGCTTGGTCTCGAGCTTACCCAGAAGGCAAGCGTTGCCCATTGGAAGGTAGCATCGAGATGTGCCATCTTTGCCAATAATCTTTGTCTTAGATTTGACACTATCGCGCCGTCTGAATTCGTCGAGCTTGTCACTCTCGGGGCCAATGATCAACACCCGACTCTTCGTTCTCATTATCTCCAGGCCTTTACCTCAATCTTCCAAGCGATCGATATGAGGGCGGCCTACGATCATGATTACCACAATTACCTTACCGAAGAGCAAGACGACGTGAATCGGTTAGAGATCGAGGTCCCCAAGGGCGATGCGGAGTTTACGAGGAACTTCCTTGATTCCTTCGCAGATCCGGATATCGACCATGCCGAGTACATGGTTGACGCGGACCATCCTGGCTGGCTTGTTTGGGGCAAGAAGTTCATCGCCTTCCGTGCGAAGCCGCAGCCATTCTTAGCCTACGACGAACTTGAATCCGGGGTGAGAAGGCAGATTGGAGATTTGATTACCAAGGAGTGGCTAGCCAAGGCCTTTGAATACATGAAGCAGGAGCCTAGGGAGTCCTCAGACAGGATACGGATGACAAATATCTACATGCTCATGCACGTCTTCGATCTAATGTACTACGGCCAGACGAAGATTACACTCGACGACGTGGTTGCGCTTGTAGAGGATGTGTATGGCGACGGAACCGACCGTAACCAGCACCGTGCCACTGCGGAGATTTTTGGCGCTCTGTTGACGGGCTCTAGCGACGATCCACTAGAGATGCGCAAGCCCGTATGGGACTATGCAGCACCAAAGCTCCTCAAAATTCTATCAGAAGAGTTGACGCCAGAGAATCAAGGGTACTGGACCAACTGCCTTCACTTGATCGTCGACTCCAAGGATCCGCGACGAACGTCCCAGATTCAAGAAGTGTTGAGCGCCTTCCGCTTAGATATGAGCTCTAATGCGGCCTTCAAAGAGGGCTCCAAGATCCAGCTGCTCGAATACGTCATCACAGATGCGGGTTGGCATTATCGACATGAGAAGCCTCTGCTAGAGGACTTCCTCGCGCATATCGACCACCCCTACAAGACTGTCCGTGAGGCCATGGGGCGAGTCATCGCAACGATCTATCGTACTCGGTACCACGAATCATTCGAGAACGTCACTGCTCTTCTAGAGGCAAACAGGGCCGAGTCTTCTATCGGGATTCGCCCGTACAAGCCGAGCGAGGAGTTCTCGGCCGTTATAAACGATGTGTTTACGAGGCTTGAGCAGTGGAGGCGGGAGCGCACGCCTGGTCAGCAAACGCCTAGCCCGTACACGTCCGGCTCCAAGACCGTGCTCACCTGGTTCGACTGTGCGCTTTCGAGCCAAGAATGTACTGAACTCCTGCCCTTCTTCCACACGAACATGATCGAAGCACTTCTACACATGATGGACGTGAAGGAGGATGTGGAACTCATGAGACTTGCATACTATGTCTATCGGTTAATGCCCAACATTCCCTTCCAGCGAGGCGAAGACGGCCCATTCATCGAGGCCCTCATCCGCGTCGGCAAGACCTCGAGCAGCTGGCACCAGCGCCTCCGATCCCTCGTAAACCTCCAGGTCATCTACTTCCGGCGGATCTTCCTCATGACGAAGGAATACCGCGATAAGATGTTCGACGCCGTAAGCGACATGCTCGAGGACGCGCAGCTCGAGGTACGGACGTGCGCCTCAGCAACCCTGGCGGGCATGATCCGCTGCTCTCCGATCCCCATTCGCGAGCCGGCCATCGAGACCCTCAAGCAACGCTTCGCGCGGCAGCTGCAGCTCAACCCGATGCCCAAGAAGAAGCTTCCGGGTACGGAGACGCCCGTCAACGTGCAGAAGCAGGTTGTCCGGCGGCACGCGGCCGTGCTCGGTCTGGGCGCGCTTATCGAGGCGTTTCCTTATGCTACACCGCCACCGAAGTGGATGCCGGAGGTCCTTGCTACTTTGGCGAATAGGGCTGCGAATGACCCTGGGGTGGTGGGGAAGGCGACGAAGAGCATTCTTTCGGAGTTCAAGAAGACGAGACAGGATAGTTGGACGGTTGATCAGAGGGTAAGTTGTTAGAATCTTTGTCTTTATCTATTTTGGCTTTTCGTGGTCCTGAGCTAACACTTTTTTCAACAGTATTTTACCCCTGAACAATTAGAAGATTTGGAGGGTGTTCTTTGGAAGAGCTACTTCGCCTAAGTTGGTAGGGCTTTTCAACCCGCATATAAACGCAACAGCACAAAACTTAAAAGAGTGCCAATATATCTATCTTATAGTTCAGCCACGGTGGGTTTGGGGAATACGAGTTTATGGAGCTCACGAGGCCCGGCAGCGAGGCGTGTGTTGACGCCTGTGTACTATCTGTATGTTTTTATTCGATAGACAGGATCGGGGCTGTTTCGGCAGGAGATGGAGATGAGCGGGACATTGAGGGCTTTTGTGCATATCTTTTTGATTGTTTGAATCTGCTTGTGGCAAGCAGGGTTTCCTGCTTTCATCAACTTTATGGCAGGTTGAGGATTTGTGCGATGTTGATGTGGATTTGTAGCTGTAAGGCGTCCCGATCTATCAACTTCCCTAGATCTTACCAGACTCGGCGTCCCTGGCATAGGAGGTCGTAGCTGCTGTCGATGTAAGTCTGGCTTACGGATTCTCAAGCTGTCGAGGAGGCGGACGTTTTTCCTCAAGTGGTTACCTATGCCTCCTCATCATTCAACAGTGGAAGCGGCGTCCGGCCCCGTTCCCGCGCATCCTCGCCGACGAGACTGCCAAGGCCAAACCCGCGTGGAGGTTATTGCGATGGGGCCTTTACCGCATGATGTTAGAGATATAGATGGTCTAATTTTTTTTTTTTTTTTTTTTTTTTTTTTTTTAAAAAAAAAAAAAAATTTCTTGAAGACCACCAGAGCACTAATAAGATGACCTTACAAGTTAGCCCTTCTCTCATATAAAGAGCCACCATGAAGGATCATGATTTAGACCTCGCCGACGATTAGTCCTTCGCTCTTTCTCGATGACGTGTGAAGTACTTCGTAGTGCAGACTTCACATGCCCGGTCCCATGGGGAAGGAACCGCCTCGCCGTTAAGCATCACGCTAATGCTAGCTTGCATCAATCAAAGCTCGCGACTGCCGCTAATGTTTGCGGCGTGGTGTCGCCTGTTACGTACCCATTGATGTAGTGCACAATTGCAGAAGTCGCCCAGAGATGTAGCTTTGGGTTTCTGGAAGCAACGTTGGAAATTTCCCGAAAGTCACTAACACCAGCGGCGGCGGCAGGAGCTCCCGCATCCCAAACTTGGTCGCAAATCTCATCGAACGACTTGAACAGCTTCACCTTCACTCAACCCCTCTTAGCTCCAAACGCCTTCCCTCCTTTCATTATTTCCTCTTCCTATTTCTCTAAATTTATTTCCGTTCCATCACAATCATATTTCGTATCTCTTTCATTTTAGGTCTCTTTCTACCGTCCCGGCTCATTATTCCCCGCCACCCGAAGCACCCTTTCTCTGGGCGCTTAAGCTGTGCTCCTCAACTTCCCGCAATCACATCGTAACGTCTGATCAGAGGCAAGCAGAGTACACATACACCATCCACCACGACATTGCCGGTGCTCAACGCTGTACTCTACCCCGATCAACTCTCTCTCATTTCCCAGCCTCCATACCCTCCATCAGCTCGTCTTTTCCCCTTTCTTCCCTCCAGGTTATAGATCCCCATCATCCTATGCTCCTTTTCCCCTCATACCGCCGAAAAGACAGACACACGAGCCCATCCGCCCTTCCTCCCTTCCCCTCTTATTTTTATCTCTCCTTCTCCCCGCTTCCCGAGCCCTCCCTGCCCCATCCTACCTTGTGTAAATAGCTCAACTGGCAATTCTGTCGATTAACTCTTTTTATCAATCAAATCTTTTTCTCCGTTTGTCTATTTCGCGACTGTTGAAAGTGATAAAAGAGTATTTCTACGCCACCCAGGCCCGCTTCTCAATCGTGGGTATCTTTCCCGCTGGTGTGTTGCGTCGCATTCACTTCCTTGAGCGCCTGAATCCTCTTGACTCGATCGCCCTGCATTCCCTCATCACTGACGGACCTCAAATCCAACATCTCCATCCCCGTCCTTGCCTTCTTGTCAAGGATTTATCAGCTCGTCCTAGCGCAAAGTCCCTCCATCCTTTGCGCCCTTCTACGCCATCACCTAGTCGTCGGTGAACTAACACTCTATTCGCGCCCTCAAAGAACATCTCAATCTAGGTCTCAAAGAACTCTACATCCTCTTCGAAATGGCTCGCGAAGGTACCCGCTCGCAAACGGGCAACTCCCGCCCCCGAGTCTTCCACACCATCGACACCGGGCCGACCATCACCCGCAAGAAGCGAACGAACACGACCACCACGTCGAAGCCCAAGACGAAAGTCGCCGCCACCAAGAAGAAGACGGCTGCGGGAACCGAGTCGACCACGGACAAGGTCAAGGCTGCGCTTAGTGCTAGTAGCGCGAAGAAGGAGGATGGAAAGAAGCCGAGGGGCGTGAGGAAGTCGAGCGCTAGCGGTAGCGGTAGTGTTAAGAAAGCTGTTCAGAAGGTGAGTTGGATCAAGTTGTATTGTTTGCGCTCATGTTGGCGCTGTGGTATTCCCGGCGCATCAAACAGATGCCTTGAAGACGCTACGAGATTACAAGAACCGAGAGGGGGAAACCCGATCGATGAATCGCCGAGACTAACACGATGCACAGGTCAAGGCTCAGACGCAGCGCCCTGCCGAAACCAAGGCATAGAATCTGTGCGCTTATCACTCCCCCGAGAACCAGACGAGGTACATCGGGCGATCCCCAGAGAGATATTGGATGTCGGGCTTGCTGCGCGCGAGTTCCGATTGGGGCCCGACCGTGACCGGGACAGCTTCGTTTCTTCTTTTCATGCTCCCTTGATATTCCCTTCAATCTCGATTCTTTCTTAAGCTACTGGTATAACTGCGCGTCGACGGATGGGAATGGGTCTTACGGTACTGGATATGAAATGGGCGCTGGGTACTATGGTGTTTGTATTGATGTTTTGATGTTTTGATGTTTGTACGTCTCTGCCGAATAGCTCGCGAGTAATGTAGAAAGCTCCTCTTTCTCTTGAAATGGGCAGTTCCCGCTCCCATTCTTCGTTCCTGAACGTGTCTTCGGCCTTCTTCAGCTTCGCAAAGAATCATCAGTAACCCGTCAATATCAGAATCATATAAAAGGAGAGAATGAAAAAGAGAAGAAGAAAAAATAATGGAAATGCAAAAAAAGAATATCGGAACCCGCGTAGAGCCAGCCTACCATGAAAATCTGATTACATCCTGGTCCAACCTGGGGTCGAACCAAGAACACCTCTAGCGCTTTCACCAGCTGCCTAGAGGGAGCAGATTAACCAGCCGGCTTAGCTCGCGGCTTCCTTATGAGTCCTGGGAATTGTTTGATCTTATATGGTTCACTCGGGGTCCCCATTGTGAGAGGTGGCTCCTTCCTCGATGGGGCTCTTTCCTTGGGAGTGTGAACTCAAGCCTTAGTTTGGATCCCAACTCGAGGTATGGGCCTGAGAGCCTCGATCGAGGCGGCCATGGCTAACAGCATCTTGAAAGATAACAAACCTTGGACCTGGGATAACGTGGCCAGAGACGAGGGATGTCTGTTTGGGTTTCAAAGCCAACGGAGGCAATCTGTCCCTAATCTATCGGAAAATCTTCTAGTCGATGCCCTTTGGAGGAATTGTCCCCTGGCCATGGGTTCTCTTTAAGAGCGAATAGTATCTGTTGTGCCTCGAGGTGTGGACTGTCTATTCAACGCGTACGTCATAGTTTAGCCATTCTTGAATCGACTGTCACTTCTCCATCCTCGTTAGATTCTACTTCTCGTGCCAGCCGTCCTGTCCACGGCATGCAAAGCTTCAACGCGGAGCCATGTTTGTCATTGAAACAGCGCTGTCTTCGATATCGGTCATGTGTGGTCTTCTCCTCCCCTCAGCAAAGACGGAGCTTGGCTATTGTTTGCAGTCAATCATAGTGCAGGGCACCCAACACTCCCTCTCGTCACAAGATCTGTCTCCACCCCCTTGTTCTTCTCTCCTTTGTAAGTGTTGTCATAAGTTATGTACATGGCGCAAGGACTGAACAAAGCGCTGCTTCTTCTTTGGAGCCTAGTATCGTCAAACGAAGTCGCTACTTGCAGGTTGAATCAAACAGGGAAGTGATGGGTGGAATGCAGAGGACACACTCTGATCAGGACACCCCGGTGTCCCCCTTAAGATAGACACCCCACAGAGGGATCCACGGGAAGTAGATGCATCCTACTTCACAAAATAGATATGTCGATTGCGGTGGTGGTGCCAAGGAGTAGGATGGGAAACTACTGCTAGAGGATGCTAAGACTGAGCAGGAGGGAATGAACAGGTTTACTCATCTCCTAGACAAGATCTCTCCTAAGAGGTTGGTGTCCTTTTCAGTCCCTTTGCCAAACATACCACTCCATCAAACCTCGAAGCCGACTCCTAGTTTACCTGGAATCTCTCAGCTTTCATCGATAAACGTCTCTATTAAACTGACTCCTCATCTAAACTACGCGTATCATTGCCCATTCTTTGTTGGCCCTGTCCGAAAATGTTCGACCACTGCTGCTACGTCGTTCCCCCCTACCTTCTCCGGTCGATCTCCGAATCCGAAAACAACCCTGAGCCCATCAGGAAGGCAGCCGAAGCAACACTCAACCGCCGAATCAAGATTAGCAACTCTCTTCATAACAGATCCAAGGTCCTCGCGGAGAATGCCGGGATCAGGAAGTCGTCTCGATCGCTTTCCAAGCCCAGCATCGTACCGATCGACCTCTTGCGGCATATTGCCAACTCGGAAGATGTCGACGAGAGGGTTCGAAAGTGTGCTAGAAGGGATCTGGCTCATTTGAAGGGGATTCATGAGAAGGCTTTGGCGGGGAAAGATGGTAGGATCCCCGTCTTCAGACGTACAAACAGTAACTCGGTGAATGGACACACTTCTAACCTAAACGGGAGGTGCAGGAACAGCGACGTCTAGCCGCAAGATGGCCGCCGTGGCTGAAGACGAGAGTAAGAAAGAACATACATTCTATTGGGCTGTTTACGACGCCAAGAACTCGTTTGCGGAGTTCCAACTTCCAGGAGAGCTCATCCGAGCTGAGGGCCAGCCAGCCGCAAAGGACAAGGCCGTTAACGACGCATACGATAACGTAGGACAAGTATTGAGCGCGTACAAACAGTTGTTCAACTGGAACTCGGTTGACAATGACAATATGCACATCATCAGCACTGTCCACTTTGGAGAGAATTACGAGAATGCGTGTAAGCTGCCAACTCTCCCGGACGTGTTGTGGTGCGCGTGTCTCAAGCGTCTAGCTGATTTGGTCACTGACGTACTTTTTGTGTATAGACTGGGACCCCGACCGCATGCAAATAGTATTTGGCGACGGAGATGAATTTTTGAGCAACTTCACTGGTTGTGTCGACGTCATCGGCCATGAACTCACGCACGCCGTAACTGAGAACACGACGCCACTTCTTTACTTTGGCCAGAGCGGTGCTTTGAACGAGCACGTATCAGATGTATTCGGCATCATGGTCAAGCAGTTTGTCGAGAAAACTGATGTCGAGGCTGCCGACTGGCTCATTGGCGAGGGATGTATTGCCCCGGGCGTCAAGGGAATTGCTCTTCGGAGTATGAAGGCCCCGGGAACTGCGTACAATGATCCGCGATTCGTAAGTATATATTTCGCTTTTCACGTTTATTTTATACTGGAGATGTCCCTTTCTAACTCAAGTGTCCGCTTTGCCTTTAACACAGGGAAGAGACCCGCAGCCGGATCACTTCAGGCATTACAAGTCAACGTTTGAAGACAACGGCGGCGTCCACATCTACTCGGGCATCCCCAACAAAGCCTTTTATCTCGCCGCCAAGGCATTCGGTGGATATTCGTGGGAAAAGGCTGGAAAGATCTAGTGGATCACCATGACCCAGGCCAACCTGTCCCCGCAGTGCAACTTCCTCGAGTTTGCAAACGCGACCATCAACTCTGCCAAGACGGCCTTTAGCGAAGATGTAGCCAAGATTGTAGAGAATGCCTGGAAGGAGGTTGGCGTCATTGAGGGCGGAGATGGCGGGGATGGTAATGAGGGGGGAGACAAGAAGGATGACGACAAGTCTGACGGCGGCTGGCTCGACTGGATCAGCGACTTGTGCAAGCCCTTCTAAACTTGGCAAGTCGGTGTTTCCGAGAGGCCGAACTGAATTAGAAGGGTCATGTCTAAGTTAAAGATCCTGGTGGTGGGAGAAACGAAAAATTGTGCTCTTGTTAACGGCCTCGCTGCTGAGTCTTGTTTATCGCTGGGCATACAAGGCTCTGGCTAGTTTGATGTCCTATCCTCATCTACCTATGCTTCCTTCTCTATAGACAGTCCTATGTAACGTTACACTATTTCGATCTGGTGTTCCAAAGTCTCGTAAACCAGATGCAACAGAGGTAGAAATGGGAACCTGGAGGGGAATGATACAACATAGAAAGACAGTTTGTAACCCATCACATATTCTAGCAATCATGGCCTTCTCCACTGCGTTACCTCTACTCCGTATGCTCAAAATGTGGGCAACGGGGACATGAAATCATAGCCCTAGGTTCTAGCATCGGAGTTGTGATAAGATAGCAGAAGCTCTTCCGAGTCTCGAGGCAGACAGGAGACAGGAGACGAGGTACGAGAGACCAATTCTCCAGGGAAGGGGCGAGGGTGACCTGGCGTCATCGATCGGGGAGGTAGGAGCCAGCCGGAGCGATTTCCTTTCCTCAACAACGGGAAGGAGGACTCGAGGAGCGTCGGCAGGGGAGATTTCCACCTTCCTCCCTTGGTCCCTTGGCTCCTTCAGTTCCACAATCTGCGAATCTGTGTGTAAGTCTGCATGTGATTCTTGACAAGGCCAGCCTGGTGATGACGGAATCCTCACCTTCCCCATCATATTTGAGGCGGCCTACGCCCTCGTTTCTCTCTATACTAGGGCTTCGTTATCTACGAGAATCTACCTCTATCTGCCTCTTCGCCTCCTCCTCGCCTCTTATAGTCTCATATATTACAACCCTTCTCGAATCAGCTTACTTCGTTAGACATATAAAAATGGCGGCACGTCAGAACAACGGGCTCGCCAAAGGTAATGGTCCATCTTCATCCTCTCCATCATCGGCGACGTCAGATCGCAACAGCATTCCCGATGAGTTCGTCCCTCTCCGGCACAGGTACGCGTTGACGCCAGAAACACTAGCGAACCTCTTAATGCTACCCTTGCAGCCCTCACAGAGGACACTTCTCGAGGCGGCATCGCAAGCCCCAGAGCTACGCCGTCACTCGATGCTAGCCGAAGAGCGGGCATTTTTCCGAGCCATCAACGGTTCGAAGAACGTGCGATGGCCCGTGGCAGCAGGGTCTCCAGTGGCGGCCTGGCAAAAGGCGTTTCTTCTGGTGCAGATGCAGCTGAGCGGCGGCGAGTGGCCTGGCAAGATCAACAAGGGGAGAAGAAGGGAGTTGGTGTCGGAGAAGAAGGAGATATTTAAGGTGCTGAATAGGATTGTGAGGTGCGTGATTGATGTGATGGGGCTAAAGAAGGACGGAGTCGGAGTCGGGAACGGGCTAGACATTTTGAGGGCTCTAGAGGCCGGGGTCTGGGACGAGGAGCGGAAGGAGATTCTCCAAGTTGCGGGGATCGGGCCGAAGTTGGCGGAGAAGCTGGCTCAAGCGGGAATCACGACGACCAAGGCGCTGGCGCGGATGGAGTCCTGGAACATCGAACGGGTCCTGAGCAGGAACCCGCCTTTCGGGGTAGGTATGATGGCTAAGATGAAGCAGTTCCCAATCCTGGGCATGAAGGCGACGCAGGTCGGGCGAATGCAGGAGGATGACCGCATGGCGGTAGTCAAGGTAACCCTGAGCTTCGAGAATGCCGAAGTCCCGAAATGGAGAGCGCTCAGGGTCAAAGTGGTGTTTTGGGCTGAGAGGAAGTCTGACAGCCGGCTCGTATTCTTCTGGCGGGGCGGGATCCAGAAGCTGCAGGATGGGAAGAGTACGGGAATAGTATTCGGGTGCGACATACAGGCTGGGGATTCGATGTCTTGCTATTTCGCCTGCGAGGAGATTGTTGGGACGATGGTGCGTGATGTTGTTGGAATTTCTTAGGTGAAATTCTGTCCTCTCCCTCTACAATGGGTTGGTAAACTTGTGGAAATTGCGTTCTATATTTGGAGTTTATAGAAATATAACGATGTCTTCTCTGAGACCAAAACACACACACTTCCTTCAGTGAAGTGAACTCTTCTGAGAACTGGTCGGAACATATCAAGGCTGACATGGTTCTCTCGAGTCTTGGCTGGGATGTCACTCGTTGGGCTTAGCAAGGTTTACAGAATATGAACCAGAAAGAGCCCCCCAGCCTTGGGCCTGGAGCGAACAATCCCAAGAAAGAAGAGATGAAAAAGTAAAGAAAAAATGAAAAGGAGGTGGAGGAACACATGGGAGGTGAAAGGGATGGCATGTGGATTCACAACTCGAACTGTTGGTCTCACTCCCGAGGAATACGGTAGCATCTTGAGTTCTCGAGAAAAGGAAAGAAAAAATAATAATAAATTTCAAGTTCACTAGCTACTCGAGGTGAAACCCTGGCTCAAGTACAGAAGATAACCTTTTTTTTTTTTTTTTTTTGTATAGAAAAATCGGATAGCGGCAATAAGAGGCCGTTGATCCTCACGGCTGAGTCGGGGTCTCCCCATGATGCACTCCGGTCGATACGTCCTCTCAAACGGGGCTAGTGACCTCTCCTCTCCTTGGAATAAGCGATGACCGAGAGACATTGTCGATCTCGGGCGTCAGCTTTAGGTTACAATCTTCAAAGTCATTGGTCTTGAGGTTTCGAGCATTCTTGATATTCTCTTTGCAAACCCGAAGGCCTGGGACAATCAGCAAGGTTAATTGAAAGGTTGATCCATTGCGTTGCTGGAGGCACTGGCGAATGGATTTGACACCAATACCTCAGACGCGTCTCCCCCTTTTCTTTCTTCATCGCACTCTCTTTACTTATTCTTATGTCTTTCTCGATACTAACAGCAGGTGAGACATCGGTGACGAAAGTGTCGTTTTTGAGAGACACCATACAGTAACATCGCCATCCAAACTTGGAAATTTGTCTTTTGTTTTTAGCACCCATACAGAGATCCATTCCTGTCCTGCGCATTGCAGAATCTAAGCTGAGAGGACCAGTTCTTCTCGGTGCAGGACAGTCCGGAGAACTGCATAGTGAATATCAAGTTGTACAGGACCTGGAGCCTGGCCCCAATGCATCATCCCGCTAACTTCGTCTGATTTCCATCACCATCTCCATCTAATCTCCGGCCCCGTAGAACCCCGCTACAGGTTCCTAACTTAAAAGACCAATGTGCACGTTAAACCCGATACCCGATAGCCTGGCTTACATGCGCGTTGCTTATACGGCTCAGTGAGAGTCCTACTGTAACTAGCCGCAGGTGGACACATGGAGCAGGAGCAGGAACACCAGGAATGTTGTGTCACCTGCTGTATTGTGCAGGAAAGATGGATGCCAGTTCGCTCCGGAGAACTTAGTCAATATGTGATCTTCAGGCCCACCGCCAACGGTGCATGCTAAAACGGGATCCGACATGTTCAACCCGGGGGGCGATTTCTCTTCTCCCCACAGGGCATGAGTGAACAACTTCCGCTAATGCGGAGATAGCGATCGGCGACGGAACACTTTGCTCGTGCAGTTTTACATTTGTACATTAGTGCCGGGACTTCCATGCAGATCGACATTCCGCCTGCGGGGGAGAGTCAGTGAAGACACCGTCCGCTCAACCTTGAATGTACATACCAGGGTTCCACAGCACAGCAGCCTGGTGTCTTTTTTTCTTGGGCCGTCCTACCCTGCAGCGAGTTAAATCTGTGCTACTTTGCTTGCTACTTTGCTGAGTAGGATCTCGTCTGCCGATTATACGATCATTGGGGAACTTGTTGCTGCTGTACACATATTCCCGTCCGACGACGGGTAAAATAAGGGTCCTAAACCTGCTCTTCAGATGACGGCGAGGCGTCCGGAAAGATTATTCAGGACCCTTTCACGGGAGCCCGAAAGCTTCGGCCCGGGGGGCCATGGCCAAGGAAACGAGTGGAATTACGAATTGGCATCTCTCGGGACAGCGGACTCCATCTGATGTTGCGATTGTTACCCCCGATGCGTGCCAGCGATGTCCGGAACTGTCCAATGACTTTCCCGTTCTCTGCGCTGCAGCTGCGGCGTCGGGGTCAGTTCTCGTATTGTGAAATGTCTCCTGCCAGAATAAGTAAGTCAAATCGAGGAAGAAAACAGATGAGGTGAAATGTATTGGATCTATACAACGCTGGTCCGAGAAGAGAAAATAGAAGTCCCTGCGGCTGAGCATGGGAGAATGTCTGGTGTCACTGGCTGCAGTGGCTGGGAAATTATGTTTGACTTCATGTCTCTGGTCTGTCGGGGAATGCATTACTTCGTAAAAATCATCCATCTTGCAGATTTGGCCGCCGCCACCTTGGATAAGCCAGCGGTCACCGTTGCGGTCTGAGTGGAGGGAAGGAAAAGCAAGTCCGGATGTGTCTCTCAACCGACACCGTAGGATTGTGGACGTGATGAGGCATCATGGAATTAATAGGGGTCACCTCCCTCTCACTTCAGTCCGTCGGATATGTTGCTGTTCGTCAGTCATTTGTCTAACGAGACCAGGAAGGATATATAGACAGTCCTCTGGGCAGATTGCACGCCTCGCTCGATTCTCCTCCGCATTCACTCGTTTCGTTTGGTCCTTCCTCTCCCATATTCACTCGTTTCTAGGAAGTTGCGACCACGTTCACATTCAGACTCCTTTTTTCAGATATATAATCTATTTAAATTATTGTAAGTGACCCGGAACAACAATGGAATGAAGGAGCAGTGGAGATATAAACGAGGGCTACGCTTACAATATTCGATGGCAGTTTAACCCCCAAACACACACACATCCGTCACCAACTGCAAGAATGCGTTTCCCCAGCCTCTCCAACCTGGCCACCCTTGGCCTCATCGGCAGTGTCGTCGCCTCTCCCCATGTGAAGAGAGGAGGTGACAAGGATAAGTGCGACTGCCTCACGAAGAACGACGCCGCCGAGCTCGCCGACGTATACAAGAGGCTCATC